GAACTCTTTTTGTGTTCAGTTATTAGGGTTCAATACAGCAACCGTGAGCTTGTAAAGCACCCACATTCTCTCACTGGTGGCTCCAGATTGGGGGCGGGGGGGGGAGAAAGAGGCCTCGATGGTCCCCACACACAATGAGCCATGCAACTGGGCAGGAGGCAGCTTTGTCTATGAAACTGGTCATGGAATATGAAGCTTTTGACAAGGAGCAGAAGAACGATAAAGGGGGTGGAGGGAGGGATTTAAGAGAAAAACTCTGCGGTTTGTCAAAGTTCCCCAAAAAGTCACCATCTTCCTCTTACCCCAAGTCATGCTGGTCATCACCGAGTGCAGCGGGCACAAGGGGGCTGCCCCCAAGCTGAAGAAGCCGCCTGTGCAGTTTTTTGGCAATGAAGTTGAACCTGGACCAGGAAACAGAACAACACGCTGAGCAGCAACTGAGGAACCAGGGGGAAAACTTCCAGAACCGCTATTCTCACAGAGGCAGAATGCAGAAATAAGTTACAGAGCAGGAAGGGTCTTTTGGATCTTGCTTGACAGAACACCTCACTGTGGACAATAACCTTGTTAAAAGCCTCCACCTCTCATTGCATTTGGCATGAGAAACAATGTAATCTTATGGGAAAAAGCAGAATGCTATAACGGGCAGGGTGGTGAAATGGCAATGTGTGTGTGTGTGTGTGAGAGAGGGGGGGGGGAGAATGGGAGGAATCTGTTCACCAGCATCCTGAACAACGTATTGGCACAGCTGGATGTGGCCCCTGAAAAGCGAACAGAGTTTGTAGTGATAAGCATCACAGGGAAGTCTAAAGGCACCACCATTTAACCAGCAAACATGTGGAAAACTCTTAAAATATCACCGGCTACGGCAAACTACAGCATTCAATACCATCATTCCAGACACACTTCTAACTACACTAAACCAGCTACAGGTACCTGAACACACTTATAAGTGGATCATAAGCTTCCTAACAAACAGGAAGCAGCAGGTGAAGCTAAGCAGAATCGCATCAGATACCTGTACAATTAGCACAAGGGCCCCCCAAGGCTGGGTGCTCTCCCCACTTCTCTTCTCTCTGTATACCAATGACTGCATCTCTAACGATCCATTGTTAAACTACTGAAGTTCACAGATGACACAACAGTGATCGGTCTCATTCGAAACAATGATGGATCCGCATACAGACGGGAGGTTGAACAACTAGCCTTGTGGTGTGACCGGGACACTCTGGAACTGAACACACTCAAAACCGTAGAAAAGGTGGTAGACTTTAGGAGAAACCCTTCCATAATTCCACCTCTCACAATACTAGACAACACAGTATCAACAGTAGAGATCTTCAAATTTCTAGGTTCTACCATATCGCAAGATCTAAAATGGACAGCTAACATCAAAAACGTCATCCAAAAAGCACAACAAAGAATGTTCTTTCTGCACCAACTCAGGAAGCTCAAACTGCCCAAGAAGCTGCTGATACAGTTCTACAGAAGAATTATTGAGTCTGTCATCTGCACCTCTATAACTGTCTGGTTTGGCTCTGCACCCCAACAAGACAGACACAGACTTCAGAGGATAATTAGAATTGCAGAAAAAACAATGGCTACCAACCTGCCTTCCATCGAGGACCTCTATACTGCACGAGTCAAAAAGAGGGCTGGGAAAATATCTACAGACCCCTCACATCCTGGACATCAACTGTTTCAACTCCTACCCTCAAAATGACGCTACAGAGCACTGCACACCAGAACAACTAGACACAAGGACAGTTTTTTCCCAAACGCCATCACTCTGCTAAACAAATAATTCCCTCAACACTGTCAAACTATTCACTAAGGCTGCACTACTATTAAGCTTCTCATCGTTCCCACCACCCATCTCCTTCCACTTATGACTGTATGACTGTAATTTTGTTGTTTGTATCCTTACAATTGATATTGATATTGTTTCCAGATTGCTTATTTGTACCCTATGACTATCATTAAGTGTTGTACCCCCCGCCCGTTAGCTAATTCTGCCCCACATAATTTTTTTTTGACAAAGCTCTAGAGCCCCAGAGCCTAGTCAGCAGCAGTAGCAGCTCAGAAGGCTGGAACTTCAACGTGACAAAGAACTCCGACTGCCACGAGTTGGCCTATTAATTTCCCTGAGAGAGAAGTGGCACTTACTTGGGATATGAGGAATCCCCAAGCCCCAGAACAGCATAGTCCATCTGGCACAGGGAAGTGGGAGGCAAGTTCTTCCGGAATAGGAACTTCCAGAAATTCTGGAAAATTAAAGGAGTCCCCAAGGAAGACATTATTTGGAAGCTTTTCCCCAAAGGAACCTTATCCTGCTCACTGCAGGAAATTTGGCTCTAGCCCCAGTAGAGGGGGAACCAAAACTGAATGGCAGCATCACCCCTGCTGACTGGCAAGGAAAAGACCGAGGGTTAGCCAGGTGAGCATTCCCAGCCACACAGGCGAAGGAAGGGGCTCCTCCGGCTCTAGTTCATGGTTGCCTGGCCACCCTGCACCCTCCCCCTCCCCAGGAACAAGGGGAGGGTTTCTGAACTGACCTTCATATTATCGGGAGGGTCTCCTTGTCCTGTGGTTGCACAAACAAATACCACCAGCGGCTCATGAATCAGGTTTGCCTTCCAAGAAGCCATGCAACACAGAGAGGGTCACAATGAGTTCCCAACAAAGGCCCACCAAGCTTCTTTTCCCTCAGGAACATCGATTTCACTGCTGACCCATGTTTCCACCCACAAATTATATTTGGGGTAGCTAAAATGGCCAAAGCACCACTTGTTGAGACAGGCGGCTATTGAAATTAATTAAATCAATAAATATGAAAAGCAACTTCTGCCCAATTCCAGAAAAACCATAAAGGGCCCCGCCTGACCTCCTCTGGCTGGAAGTTCTCCCTCCTATCCACCTTCTTCTTTTTAATTTTTATTTTCCATTTTTCCAATTTACATAACAATAAACATTTTTAACAGTACTGTGTCATTTGTTTCTTACAGTTATTTACATTTATTTCTACACATTTTTGTTTCTCTGTTCTAACCACTTATACCACTTATCCCATACCTCATAAAATTCTGCTTCTTCCTTGCCTTTCATTTCTAACGTGAACTTATACATCTCGGCACATTCTAATACCTTATGTATAACCATCTCATTGGCTGGTATATTTTCAAGTTTCCAACATCGAGCATAAACAATTTATGCTGCTGTTACTATGTGTAAAATGATATATTGGAGTTCCTAATAAAAATAATTCAGCTTTAAATTCAATTTGTTCTCTTGCCATCTCCTGTAGCCAGCTCCTTATCTGTTCCCAATATTTCTTTGCTTTGGGGTATTGCCACAGGTGATAAAAGGTTCCATCCTTATATTTACACTTCCAGCAGTCCAGTTTCCTATTTGTGTACATTTTGTGTACACAAAGGGAGGGATTTCTTCCACAGGTCTGAAAGCTGAGCCAAGGCCACTTCGTGAGCTAAGGCAGGATGATTTTCTATGTCTATGTAGGCCAAAATCACTGTTAAGTCCCATAGCTGCTACTCACCACCGGGTAGTCGTCCAGGGCCTCAACCTTACAGTGGAAATGGTGTCGCTTGGCTTCTCGACCAACCCTCTCGGCATTATCTTGGGCAGTTCCTGTCTGGCTGCCATAAAGCACAAGCATCTTCCGTGCTGCCATCTGAAGGGGAGCAGGACAAAGACATCCAGTCATTAGGACGGAGGCACAACTTTCCCAGTTTAAGAATACCACAATGGAATGCACAAGATGCAGTTGTCAATGGAAACAAGGAAAAGATAAAGGTGACTTCTCTCTTGACTTCAGCCCAGCTGTACCTATTTGCAGCGAGGAGCCTGAGTGGCGCAGCAGACTAATGCTACTGTTAAAAGGTAGTATTTAGCTTCCAGCTGCCTGCAATTACTGCGAGTTCGAATCTCACCAGGCTCAAGGTTGACTCAGCCTTCCATCCTTTCTAAGGTAGGTAAAATGAGGACCCGGTTTGTGGGGGCAATAAGATGACTTTGTATAAAATATACAAAAGGATGAAGGCTATTGCTTAACGCCTTGTAAGCTGCCCTGAGTCTCCGGAGAAGGGCGGCATGTAAATCAAAAATAAAAATAAAAATAAAAATAAAATAAAAATTTCAGTTTTTGCCTCCTGAGTCTGGTGGAAACACGAGGCAAAACCACCGCTGGGAATCTAAGCTTACCTAGATTAAAGAAATACAAAGGGACCAACAAGTGAGGTCCCAAGGCTAAACATTGGCCTGTTTTACACAAAGTTTGTCCTGCCAAATTACTGATGCATAAAATGGATTTATTGTAAACGTATGACGTACACATTATGCCCTAAAGCAGCCGGTGATATAACTGAAGTGGCGTAGAAGCATTTGTAGAATAAAATAAGAGCCGTGTCCCTTATACGTAATAAAACCACCACTTAGTATGAGGAGGACCACCACCTCATATTAATGGGAGCCAGTCTTGCCTCTAAGCAACTCCACACTGGAGCCTGAAGGTTTTATGAAAACTGCCCTCCCGATTCATGGTATCTGAACTGCAGCTCAGTCTCTCTCTCGTGTGTGACTGTGTGTGTGTGACTGTGTGTGACTGTGTGTGTGTGACTGATTGACGTTTGCATTTTAAGCCCTGTGCAAAGCGACAGGCGTTTTCCTCTCTCTCTTCTCGCCTCTACAGCCGCTTCTATACAACAACCAACCCCCGCAGGGGAGCTCTCGGCCCTCCTCGGACGACCCTCCCTGCCCGGGGGCCAAACGGAGGGACCAGCCTGACCTTCCGGGGCTGCCAACTCTTCTCCTCAGTTGCGCCGAGACCAGCGAGCGGGGGATAGAGAGGAGGCGGGAAGAGCCGCTGTTCCCGGCCGCCCGGCGACGCTCCCTCCACTGGGAGCAAGCGCACGTGCCCGCCCACTGGCCGGGTGGCCACGCCCCCTCGCCCGCCTTCGTCACCGGAGCGCGCCGGAAGCGCCCGCCCTCCCTCCCGCGGAGCCTGCGGCGGGGATGCTGTTCTCGCTGCGGGAGCTGGTGCAGTGGCTGGGCTTCGCGCCGTTCGAGCTGCTGCTGCAGGCGGCGGCGCTGCTGGCGACGTCGGGGCTGCTGGCGCTGAAGGCGGACGGCGCGGCGGCCGGGCTGAGCTGGTGGAGCGTCTTCGCGCCGCTCTTCGCCGCCGACGGGCTGAGCACCTACTTCACGGCCATCGTGTCGGTGCGGCTGTTCCAGGACGGCGAGAAGCGCCTGGCCGTGCTGCGTCTCTTCTGGATCCTGACGCTGCTCAGCCTGAAGTTCGTCTTCGAGATGCTGCTGTGCCAGAAGCTGGGCGAGCAGAGCCACGAGCCGCTCTGGTACGGGCTCATCATGTCGCCCGTCTTCATCCTGCTTCAGCTCCTTATGATCCGCGCCTGCCGAGTCAATTAGCAGCAGCAGCAGCAGCAGGGGGAAGAGGAGGCGGCGGCGGCGACGCCTTGCCAGGAATGACCGGGCCCCTCTCGACCGGGACTCTACTGGAAGACGCTCTGACCGGCCGAGGACTGAAAGCTCACGCCAAGACCGCAAGGCCTCTCCCTGCCCTCACGGGTAACACTTCTTGTGCTCTGGGGGGTATGGCAGCTCCTTATCCTGTTCTGCCGTTGGACTCTGATTTCTGAGGGCCAGAAGATCTGGGCGAGTTCTGATTAAAATCAAGAATAAAATATGTAGAGCCAGTATGTAAGCCTCTTGCTTTTCTTCCCAACAAAGATATTTGGTTTTTAAATGCTGAAAGCTGAAAGTGTTTTGAGAAATAGAAGACAGCGATGTTTGAAAAACGGCAGTTTTATACATACCGGTAATTCCTTTCGCAAGGGTATACTTTCTAACTGCACACAATCAAAGCGAGCAGGGCTTCTTGCGCTGCTTCCCCTGCAAGAGACAGGGCGAACTCCAATGAAACCGATGGCATTAAATTACAAGTATGTAGCTGAAAATGAAGTGAGTGCTTGTCGGCTGGGTCGTAGTCCAGCAACCTTTCTAAAGTTGCACATCATCAGGTGCTTGAAACAAGCAATTTCCGGATTTTGATTTGGCTCATGTGGGCAGCACGGAGAGATTTAGCTGATAAATGCCATGATCTGGATTGCTGGAAGAGTGCCAGTAGAAAAAATGTGAAATAAATAGATGAGCAAGTATGGCAGCCTTAAATAGAGTTAAATAACTTAATATTGCTTAACGCACTGTAAGCCGCCCTGAGTCTCCGGAGAAGGGCGGCATATAAATCAAATTAAAAAATAAATAAATAACGTGGATAGTTTGCTTCTGGGTGTAGTTTCTTGTGTTAGGGCAATATGCTGACCCATGGCCCACTGGAACATAGTATATTTAATTAACCCAGTTGCCTGGACTGACAACACACTCATCCTAAAAGCAAACTAACCATATTTTAATTTGGCCGGACTAGTCTTGCAGGCAAACCTACTGCAGTCTTATACTCATATGGCAGCTTCTCTAAGAGCGCATGGAGACGGCCAGGCACGGCCCAGCGAAGGAAGGAATCCCCAAGCGCCTCTGAAGGGGCCCCCCGTCCTCAGGCTGTGACGCGGACGGCGGGAAGTTCTGCCCAACTACCTCAACCTACCTACCCTATCGCCCTCAGAAGGGCCGCTGCGGAGATTCCGGAGGCGAAAAGGCCACTAAGTCGCTCCCCGGTAGCCCACTCTTGCCTGACTGCAATTCCCAGAATCCCCAGCTAGCGGTAGGAAGGCTCCCGACCAATGGTTGACGAGTTACTCCAAAAGACGCGACTCCTGCCCTATAGACCGGGCTTGCGCGTGGGAGGGCGGGGCTTCTTGCCCAGCGCAGAGCGGGAAGGGACGCGTGGATCCTTTGACGTGATTCTACGGAGCGTTGCCCTTAGGCCTGCGGGACGTCCCCGCTCAGCGCCGCGCCGCGCCCGAAGCGGCTTCCGCCCAAAGAGCGCCGTTCCGTTCCAAGCCCTCAGCATCGACCGTTCCGCTTACCTCACGAAAAAAGCCAATGGGAGACCTCCGCAATCGGCTGGGCGGGGCCGTCCCGCCTCCCGTCCAATGAATGGCGCTGCCGACCGCGGCTCCACGCTGGAATTCAGCAACGCCCCGAGACGTCGCGACAGGCTAATCGAGGCCGTCTTTCGTGCGCAGAGGCGGGACTCCTCCGCGGCAGCCAATCGGCGCGGCCGCTTCGCCGGGGCGTCTCCTCCGCGGCCCGTGGGCGGCGCTATCCCCGGCGGGCCCAGGAAGTCGCCGGAGGAGGAGAAGGCGGCGGCGGCGCGGCCGGTCGGCCAGGTGGGAGGCTGCCGGCTCGCCATGAGCGGCCTACGGGAGAGCGCGGCGGCCGAGGCGCCGGCCTGGAAGCTGGCCCTTCTGGAGCGGAAGCGGGCCAAGCTGGCGGCCGGCATGGGTCCGGAGCGCGGCCGGGGCTCTGCTCCGCGGGCAGGCCAGGGCTCGGACGGGCGCGAGGCGGGGGCGGTGGTGGCCGAGAGCCTGGGCCCGCTGCGGGAGAACCCCTTCATGCGCCTGGAGAGCGAGCGGCGGCGGCGGCGGCGGCGGGGCGCCTGCGAGTTCCCGGGGCCGGCTCCCACCCCGTCGCCGCCCGCCGAGTCCCCGGCCCTGGCGCAGCTGCTGCAGCTCTACGGGGCCATGCCCGGCATCCGCACCATCCGCGCAGACAACATCCTCATCATCGAGTCGAGCGACCCGGCGGAGCCCCCCGGCCGCCAGAGCCCCCTGCGCGATCTGCTCGCCCGCCGCGGCCCTCCCGTCACCGAGATCCGCGCGGCCCAAGTCGTCGTCTACGAGCCCGAAGCGCCGCCGCTCGCCGCCGGCCCCGATTCCGGTCTGGTCAGCCGGCTGCTGCAGAAGTTCGACCGCGCGGCCCCAGGGAAAGGGCGGGGGGGCCACGGCCCTGCCCTGCCGGGGACTCGGCCACCCGCCACCCGCCCGCCCGGCGCTCAGGGCGGCGGCGGCGTTTTCTTGCAGAAGATCGGCTCCAACTCCTTCGTGGTGAATCCGCGGGGACACCGCCCCGACATCGCGGCTGCCTCTGCGCTCAGTAACGGGCGTGCGAAGGAGGAGGAGGAGGTGGGCGCTCCCCCTCCGCCGCCTCCCAACAGTCCCGGGCGGCGCCGGCCGGCAGCCAGCTCCAAAGCCGTGCCATCCTCCCGGAGCCCCGCGCTTTCGTCTCCGCCAGCAGCTGAGGCGGGGAAGCCAAAGTCCGAGGCTGCTGCCGCCCTTGAGACCTCGCCACAGCCGCCCCCACCGTCCAGTGCCACGCCGACCGGCCGAGCCTCAGACGGTCCTCCCCGGCCCGGCCCGTTCTTCAGCTCCAGCTGCTCCTTTGAGATCCGCCCAGCCCCGAAGCCCGATCTCGCCGCCATCCCTGCTCACGACCTCCAGGCGCGCGCCTTGGCCAGCCTGCGGCTCCATTCCCGCAACTCCTTCCTCTTTGTGCCCCATCGGAAAGAGGCGCCGCCTGACCCTCCTCAGCCCGCAGAGGCCCTTCCCGCTGCCCCTGAGGAGACCTCGGCTGAGCCTCTGGTGCCCGTGACTTACATAGATGAGGACTTGGTAGCAGCCATGCCGCCCTTGAAAGTCTTGAGCCCCAGGCTGGAGGGTTTCCATGTGCCTCCAGAAGGTGCCTTGGCTCTGGAGACGGAAGCCCCTGCTTTGCCCACCTACAGGCCCCTTTCCGCTGGCTCCGATACTCGCACCTTCACCGTAGTGCCCAAAAGGAAGCCCCCCACGGCCGGCCTGGAGCCCTTCAGCAGTGCCTGGCTGCAGGAGGAGGAGGAGGAGGAAGAGGACAAAAGCCAAAGGGAAGCCCAGATGGGAGCCCCCCTGCAGGAATCGGGTCGTGTCAAAAAACGCTACCCCACCGTCAATGAGATCGAAGTGATCGGCGGCTACCTTTCTCTCAATAAGTCCTGCATGAGCAAATCGGGTATTCGGCGCAAAAAGGTAACCAGTTGACACCTGTGCTGACCAGTCCTATTTCTGTTACGCTTCTGAATTTTTGCAGAGTGCGGAGATGAGCAGGACCTGACCCGAGAGAGCTGGGCCACTGTTGTGCAACTACCGTAGGGCCTCTCAATCTCTCAGGTTCTTGGAGGGGCCTTAGAACAGTGGATTAAGCTGCCTGCAAGTGCCCAGGGAGCATAATGTGCCACTGTTCCCTCTCAGTAGCTCATGGTATAAATAGGCCAGACTTCAGTGAGGGTGCAGAGCTAGCTGTGTGAAATAGCAAACAAGGACTTGGAAAGGTTTTGCATGCTTGATTTCATCCATCCATTGTGGATTATTAGGAAGGGACCATTCTTGTCCTGGGGTGCTTCGGTCCTGTGCTGTGATTTAGTGGTAATGGATGCTATCCAAAGCAGCATTGTTTATGTTTAGAAAGTTTTTTAAAAAATTGTATTGTGCTTTTATTGGAGGATAAAAGTCTCTTGGAGAAAGAGTTATAGCACACATACAGATCAGGATGGGGGACAGGATTCAAAGCTCAAGATGACACAGTAAAGAGATCTGCCATTACTGCAGGGCACATATGGCTTCCTCTCTTTTCACACATTTGTTCTGCAAGATCACAACTGCTTAGAAACTGATGGGAGAGACCGGCCAATTGCTTTAGGACTCTTTAACCAGCAACCCAGGCCAGTGCTAGGCTGGGGTCACTTTTCAAACCCGTTCATGGCCAACCAAGCAGAGCCTGTTTCCTTCTGATTCATGCAGTTGGCTTACCATTGCTACAGATTCCTTTAACAGGGTGTGGCAGACGCAGGGTGGGAAAGTGAGGTAAAAGTGATCAAATTATTATGCAATATCAAGGGTCAGGCTGGAGGAGGTGAAGCAATGGTAATTTTTTATGTATACATTTCCTTGCAGCTCAAGTTTCCTTTGAGACATTGCTGCACTGTTTCTTAGCTGGCAAAGTCTCTTTTTTTGTACAGAAGTTTTTTTTTTTCCTAGTGCCACCTTTTTAAGGACTAGTGCCAATTTTTCTTTGTCCTTCAACTGGTTGCCTATTGCGCTCCCCCTCCCTTTTCAGCTGTGCGGAAGGGCTTCCCCCTGTCCTGCTCACCAAAGGGAAACCTCCGCCCCCCCCCACCCAAAAAAAGAGCCTTTGTGCTGCTTCTGTTCAGCTCCTGCAAGGCTCTGGTCAGTTCCTGGCTCTAGTCCTGGGAGCTCAGGTTGCTGTCAACAAAGAAAACAGCAGCAGCATTGATAAGAGGGTCCTTCTGGAAGAAGAACCGCTGAACATGGCCTGATGCTGTTCCTGTCAGAATAAAACATTCCTGGAAATTACTTTATGTCCACAGGATAGCTGTTGGCTGGAAAATAGCCTGCCAGCTTCATTCAAGGAGGACTAGTTTCAAAGAACTGCAGTTAGTTCTTGGTGATTAAGCTTGCCCTTCTTCCTGGAGTTCAAGTAGCCATTGTAGTTCTTTGCAAGAGCTCTGTGAACGAGGTGAAGGTGAAAGAGAGGGGCCGCCCAGAGTCCTCCCAGACTGAGGATGTGCTTGGACCCCAGACCCCTCACTCCCGGTCAACTATCTTAATCTCCAGGCCACCCTGGTGCAAGGCGCTTTAAAGTAAAACTTGGTGGACTGGAAGTTGGCCAGTCAAAACAGTTTTAACTTGCTTGCTGTTCAGTTTTAATCAATATTTACAGTATCTTCTCTTTTGGGGAGATATTTTCTGAGTTAGAAAATGTGTGTGTGTGTGTGTGTGTGAGCAAACATGCCTATAGTGTCTGAAACTTGGATCTTCCCAGTGGCACCTGATCCTGCTCTGCTTGCAGGATCCTTCAGGGTGTTGATTACAGGCTGAAAGGCAATCACTTTAAGGGCCTTCTTTCTTGCACAGAGACATTCTGGCATTTTGGCCCAGTGTTTGTTTGCATTTGATTGCAAAATGATGATCCAGGGAGAGAGAAATAAGGAAACTCCTGGAAGTAGCGGTGAGAGCCAAGGGAACATTGGCTTCTGCACTGATGATGACAAAATAGTTTTCCATTGGACGCTGCAGATGCTACACAAACTGAAAAACTTTTTGTATGAATCGATTTCACAAGCTTTAAGCTCTTGGGCCAAGACTGTTTTCATAAAGTTCTAGTTGTTTCGTGAAAACTCTGTAAATGGGGCGGCCAGGCATTTGGCCATTGCCACAAGGACCTCAGACTGCAGTTTGTATTTTCCATAGCTGGAGGACTAGACTTTTGCTTTTTTCCTTTTCAGTGCTTGAAATTGGATTAAAAGGTTAAATGGGCATAAGTGAGCATTGTAGTCTTGGCTTCTCTGTCGATGTTTATAGTTACTTTATTTTAAAGTAGCTGCTTTAATGGAGACTCTTACTAGCGACCGTGAAGATGATGTGAGGTTCTAAAATGGAGCAAAAGTTATACGTAGAGTTTGGCCTAGTGGTTAAGGCACCTGGCTAGAAAGCAGGAAACCCTGAGTTTTGAGTCCCGCCCATGCATGACAGCCATTTGGGTGACTTTGGGCCAGCCCAACCCACCTCACGGGGTTATTGTTGTGGAGAAAATAGGAGGAGGAAAGTAACGTGTTGGATATGCTCACTGCTTTGAATTCTTTGTAAAAATAATAAAGGTGGGATATCAATAAATATGGCAAGGTGGCCTATGAATCTGCTGTATCCTCTTGGGAAACTTCCTGAAGCATTCAAAAGTGCCTCTGTCTGCCTGTTGATTCCCACCAAAAAGTGAGGCTTCACCTGACTTGTCACCTGTTGAAATAGGTGGCTATAGGAACCAAATAAAAGTACTGAAGGATTCCAGCTGGAATAAGCTAGAAATTTACCTCACTGAAACTTGAGGTAGAATTGCAAAGCAGCTTCTTACTATTCCTTCAGATGAAAATATCTTTCAATGAGACCAGCTTGCAAACCATGTTTGAATATCCATCTGAGAGCTCCTTAGTGGAAGAGGAGGAGGAGGAGGAGGAAGAAGAGGAGGAGGAGGAAGAATACGCCACAGAAGTAGATGAGAAGCCTGCCTTTCTCATTCCTCATCCAAACAGTACTGTCAACTCAAACCCAGTCAACTCAGGTAAGTCTCTATTTCAAAACCTTTTGGGTTGAAGCTATGGCAGATCCCCAATCATGACGTCACCTTTGGAACGGGAGTTGGGCGAGGCAATGATAGTATTATCTGGTACTTTCCACATTCAGGATTGGAGTGGATATTAAGCACCTGCAGTTAAAACTGCAGCATCCCCAGTAAGATAGAAGGAAAGAAAACCAATTCAGGAAGTTGAAACGTTAAACTTCCATGTCCTTCTTGATGTCCAGTAGAGACTTTCCAGCCTCAGGGATTCCTCAGGGATCTCTGATCATGACATCCCATCTTAGTCTCCCCCTTATGCTTCTACTGACTCTGGGCGCTCATCTTTTTTGCTAGGTTTGTCAGGTTACACTCCAAAGCACTCCCTAGGCTTCAACAAGTGGCAGGAGCACCAGCACCAGAAGCTGCCTTCAAGCATCGGAGCCCTTCCACAGGAGACGGACCAGCAGGTCATGGTAAGACTTGGGCAGGCATGTTTTGGCTTTTTGCCTGCAACCTTGGGGGTGGGAGGGGGGAAGGTATCAGTGGGTGACAGCTTCTTAACGTATGAACAAAATAAACTTGCCTGCAATAAAGCAGAGGTAGCAGGCAAAGTTCTGTGTTTGCAGCAGTTCAGAGGAAAGCTGGTGCTACAGGTTAAGACTTAACATCAGCGTCATTCCAGTTTTGAATGGCCGCCCTTTCTAGCAAATGGGGCACAGTGCTCTGCTTTGTTGCGTTTCCCTTCTCTGGAAAAAAAGCAGCAAGGCAGCTATCTTTTGTCTCCTCACAGCTCACCCCTTCCGAAAAAAGCCACCTGTCTGACTTCAGTAGCGAACCTGCCCTCTACTTCTGAGTCCTGAGCGCCGCTGAAGAAAGATATTCTTGGCACCTTTGCCCCATCAGGTACCTGGAGAGACAAAGGTGGCACGCGAAGCCAAACTTCTCTTCCCTCCTCAGGTACTGAGATGCCACACAGGGCCTCATGTTCAAATGCGCCTCTTGTTTCGGCAGCTTGGGTTTTTTTACCTGCAGCTTTCCTGTTCTGAGAAAAAAAACGCCTGAGGTGGCCAGATGCTGAACGCGCCGCCAAATGCTCAGACTGCTGTTGAGCCACTAGGCTGAGCTGCTCCCTCCAGCCAGATGTGCGCAAGAAGGCTCGGCGATGAACTGGTGCCGAACAAACAAGCAAGCTGTAATCTAATGGAAAATATTGTCTCGGAACTCACCTTGGGGAAATCATGCTCCGAACACTTAGAAGCGGCCACTGAGTTTTTCAGCTGGGCAAATGACAAATACTGTTGCCTTTAACAGACTAACTGTACTAGTGGACTCTTGTTACTCTAAACAAAATTCCAGTTCCCAAAAGGGCTAATGGTAAATATGCACCCTAATCTGATGCTTGCATTTCTGTGACCAAATTGTGCAGAAGCTCATGCATTGTGCAGCAGTCTCTTAGATGCATCTTGTGGCAACTGGAATCATGTAGAAAGTTGGCAATTTGTGATCCGTAATAGTCTTTTTTGAGCCTCACACATTTTCCTTGCCAGATCCAAAACGTTGGTAACCAAGGTTTTAAGAGTTCCTGTGTCTGAATGAAGCTGTAGGTCAGGTGGCCAATCCTTCACTTGCGGTGCCACTAAGTGCTGCTTCACTGCTGGGGGCTCCTCCCCTGCTCAGCTCTTAGAGCCCAGTTTTTCAGCACTGACTCAGCTCAAGTCTGAATCTTGGGAGAAGGGATGGAGACCCCCGGCTCTCTGATCCTTCCTCTCCAAAGTACGATGATAACCTTTTGCTGTCCTATTTTCCAGAAAGCAGCTGGTCTGATCATCTGAAGGAGGACTATTCTGATTAATTGGTTAGCACTGCACTCAGGTTGTGGAAACCAGAGTAAAACACTGTCATTAGCATTTCAGTAACACTCCAGGCAAGAGCAAAATGTTGCGTGTTTATGTACGGGGCTCAGCCACACGTAGCCGCCTGTGAAAGGACCAAGTTTTAAACCTCCTGGAGAGTAGGTGTGTGTCTTCTTTCTGTTTAGTATCTTAAATCAAAACAAGCTAATTGACTCTTGTATATTTTGCACTTAATTGTTTATTAATGGAGGAAGCTGGGGTTTTGATATTACACTCCGCTGGATCTAGCTGGAGAAATGAAACCGCTGTACATGTTCCTCTTCCGCCTTTCAAGCACTTTGGCTTCCCAGGTTCATTAAACCACACAAGTGATTTCTTCATCATTATTGTTGAGTGATTTATTTCGCTATTTTGTGCAACTGCTATATCCGCGTGTCAGTGGTGAAATCTGAACCGGTTTATTACCGGTTCTCTGGCTGCACACGCGCAGTGCTCACCACGCACCAAATGCAAGGTGTGCGTGCGCGCAGTGCACGCCAAAAAGGCATGCGGTAAGTAGAACAGCGTGTAAGGGGGGAGTGATCAGCTGTGGCATGCAAGCTTTTTTTTTACTTTTAAAAGCATTGCTTTTAAAAGAAAAAAAAAGCCTCTGACGATCAGGCAACTCAGCTGGGATCGTCAGAGCCAGGTCACATCACAGCCAATGCCATGTCTGTATGTTGCATCAGTCAAATGTAGCACCAATTTCCCTCAGAGCTCAGGGTTGCCTCAAACCGAGATGGGCGGCAAATAAATTTAATAATAATGAATAAAAACGCCACATCCCTTCTAAATATCTGGATGGCTGTGTCCCAAAGAAAGCCAGGCAATGGGACCACTGGCTTGGTGATGCAGCTGCTGGAAGCCCTTTCCCTCTTGCGGCCTGCCTGCTTTGCCGTGAGGGGCATGTGTGAACGGGGTTGGAAAAGGGCCCAGGGCAGTGATGTTCCCGTTGCAAACTGGTGGTAAAGTTAAGTAGAACCCAGCCCTGGCCCAGGGGACCCCCCCCCCCAGTGGAAGCTGCAGAAGGAGTCTTTTGAGAAGTCCATTTTATTTGGTGCTTCCTGAGCCCCCTCCCTCATCAGGGCCCTCAGCTGTCCTTGGGGGGGGAGGCTCTTGGATTTGGTGGCCTTGGCCAGGTTCCCGGCTTCCTTCTTCAGCACCTTCAGCAGCATCTGTGAGCTTTCCAGGATCTGGAGCAGGTGGGAAAGGGTGCGGCCGAGCGAGGCGGGCTGTCAGTAACAGTGACAGAGTTTGAAAAGGGCCTTAGAGGTCATCTAGTCCCGCCCCTTGCTCACGCAGGAGACCTAGGGATTCGAACTGCCGACCTTTGTGATGGAGCTCAGCGTCTTAGCCACTGAGCCACCTAGCCCGGCTCTCCCCTTCATGTAGGCCGCCTCGGTCTCGGCGACGGTCTTGTGGAACTGGTTGCGGGAGGCCGTCCTGTGGGCCAGCAGGCGGAGGTGGCCCTGCAACTTGCAACCTTCTCCTGCCGGATCAGTTCCGTCCCTCTTGGCGCACAGCTCCTCGGTGCCTGCGGAGGGAGGGAGGGAGGGAGGGCGCCGCGGATCAGGGCCTCCCGGGAACGGCCCCTCCCGCCGCTTCTCCCCCTCGACCGCGCCCGGCTTACGTTTAAGCAGCTCGTTCTTGTAGCTCTGCAACGCCGCCGCCTTCACGCCCTGCGTCTCCGCTTCCTCCTCCTCCGATGGCCGGCCGGCCGCCCGCCAGCCGGCAGGAGCTCTCGGCGGCCTGGCACGCCCTAAGCAGCACCCTGGTGCCGGCCGCCGCGCTGGGTCTGAGTCCGGAGGCCCCGGCGGCGGAGGACGAGCTGCGGGCGGCGGCGGCGGTGCTGGAGAGCCTGGGCCTCCTGCCGGACCTGGAGGAGTGGCTGCTGGAAGTGATGCAGCGGGACCTGCAGGCCCGGCTGGCGCCCGAGTTCTGGGGCCGGGCCGGCGGGGAGCGCCTGGGGGAGACCTTCGGGCTGCTGCGCCGCCGCCTGGAGCCCTACCTGCGCGGCTTGGGCCTGCTGGAGGAGCGGCTGCGGGCGGCAGGGCTCTGCGGCCCGGACGGCCCGCGCGAGAAAGGCGACAGCGTGCTGGCTGCCGTCCTCGTCATCTCCGCCCCCGCCGACGTCCGCAAGGCCGTCCGCCGCTTCTACGAGCGCAGCTTCCGCATCTACATGGGGCAGCGCGGCGGCGGCGGCGGGGCCGAGGAGGAGGAGGAGGAGGCGGCGGCCGGCGCGGGCTGCGGCGGCGGGGAGGAGCCCTGCTGCTGCCCGCTGTTCACGGAGCAGTTCCAGCAGCTCACCGCCATCCTGTGAGTACCGGGCGGGCGGGCGGCCGGCGGGCGGGCGGGCGGGGCGGATGGGCGGCGGGGCTTCTGAGCGGCGTCTTTGTCCCCCGCAGCCACGAGCTGAACCTGCTGGAGCGGCTGAGCGACGACGCCGTGACCCACCTGCTGCACCAGACGATCGAGGAGCGCGTGGAGAGGCGCTGCCGGGCCGCGTACGAGCGCTCTTTCCTCGGCGAGTTCCAAGAGGTGGGCGGGCGGCCGGGCGGCCGGGCGGCCGATCTCCCCGCCCTCCCCGTTCAGCTTGTGCCAGCCAGCCCCCTGAGTCCCTCCGGGCTAAAGGGTCGCGCCTTCTGTGCCCTGCCCCCAGTGGATCGAAAAGGCGACCGGCTGGCTCAGCACAATCTTTCTGCAAGAAACCGCCGCGGCCCTGCTCAGCCCGGCCTCCAGCAGCACCTTGGAGCGATGGCGCCACTACGTCCAGGGGTGGTTCTACCACCGGTATGCCAGCCTGCGCATCGAGGAACTCTTCAACATCATCCGCGGTGAGCCCCGGTGGGAGCCTCTCTGGCCGCTGAGCGTCCTGCCTGCAGCGCTGGGTGCCCTTCCTCACCCTCCCTCCCGCTGCCCTGGTTTCTGGTACAGATTTCCCGGAGTCGAAGCCGGCAGTGGAAGACCTGAAGTATTGCCTGGAAAGGACCAATCAGCGGCAGCAGCTCTTGACCTCCCTGAAAAGCGCCTTGGAACAACGGCTCCTCCATCCTGGTGGGTGACCGACCGACCGACCGACCTCGCTTGCTTCTGCCCGGCGTTTCCTCTTGGCCTCCCTGAGGGAGGCTCGCATCTGGGTTCCCCCCTCCTCCTCTCTCTGTTCCAGGGGTGGCCACTGCAGACATCATCACCTTTTACATCTCTGCCATCAAAGCCCTGCAGGAGCTGGACTCTTCCACGGTGATCCTGGGAGTGGCCTGTCAGCCCATCCGGAAATACCTGAGGTGAGAGGGGCCGGTTGGCATTGGCGCCTCTCTGGCTGCCCTGGCTTGCTTTCACTGATGTGACGTCGGGATTGGCGGCTCTAGTTTTGGTGGTAGACCATCAGCCGCTCCCCCCCGCCCCAGGACCAGGGAGGATACCGTGCGGCAGATTGTGGCAGGTCTGATGGGGGATGCTGAAGGATTGGGTGAGCTGGCAAATGAGCTCTCCAAAGCTGACCCGGTGACGCTGGAGAATGACCAAGAGAGCGAGGAGGAGGACTCCGATCCCGAGGACTGGGTGCCCAAACCAGTCTATGCCGATCGAGGTGAGTTGGGGCTGCGGTTGGAAGACCCTTTTGGGAGAAGGGAACCGGGTCTGCAATGCTTCTGACCTCTGCCCATACGTCCCCTCCTACCAGGGAAGTCCAGTTCCAAGCACCGTTCCTCAGACATCATCAGCCTGCTGGTGGGCATCTATGGCAACAAAGACCTCTTCATCAGTGAGTACCGCACACTGCTGGCTGACCGCTTGCTGCATCAATGCAATTACAACGTCGAGAGGTGAGGCCCGAGAGATCCCCTGAGGCAGAGCGAGCGAAGGCAGCCCTGTGAGCCAGAAGGCCACCCTTTGCTCTGCTGCGGCCAGGGATAAGAAGGGTTGTGGGGCAGGTGGAGCTTCTCTGCCACTCCTCTGCAGGGGCTGCCGGTAGAGAGTCTCCTCTACAGAATGTGAGCAGCAGAGGATTCAGGAACAGTCCTTCCTTCCTTCTCGCTTCAGGGAGATCCGCAATGTTGAACTGCTGAAGCGGCGCTTTGGAGAGGCCCAGATGCACGACTGTGAGGTCATGCTAAAAGTAGGTGCTCCCTATAGAGGCGTTACCAGACCACCCTGGTCCCTCCAAAGGCTGATTTTACTCGGCTGGAGGGGCCCACAAAAAGGCCCCATTGTGCCTGTCCAGCTGAGCTCGGACGTCCCTTCCATCTCTTCCGTCCCTTCCATCTCTCCCATGCAGGACATGGGGGACTCTCGGCGTATCAATGCAAACATTCGTAATGATGAGCAGAAGCTGCCGGAGCAGGAAAAGCCTTCCTTCAGCCTTGAGGCCACCATCCTCTCCAGTGAGTTCTGGCCCCCGTTGAAGGAGGAGAAGCTGGAGCTCCCAGGGCTGATCAAGGAGGCCATGGAGGCCTACACTAAGAAGTACGAAAAGCTGAAGGTAGGCAAGTCCTCCATCTGCAGGAAATGCAGCCATGGGCCTCTTCCGCAGCTGGCAGCCAACCACCAAGGAGGCCTTCCATTTCTCCTCCGGATGCAGCCTAGCTCCCTTCTAGGATTCAGCTATTCCTTTCTTGCCATCTTCCTCTCCCTTCGCCCAGGACATCCTGCTCATGTGTGGAACAGACATGTGGCTGGGCCGCCAGCCAGGAGCTTCCAGTCCTTCAGCTGAGTAATCATCATTCTCCCTGGTGGCTTCTTCACAGGCCATGAGGACCTTAAACTGGAAGAATCACCTGGGCTTGGTGGACCTGGAGTTGGAGTTGGCGGACCGTACGATCTCCCTGTCTGTGTCGCCGGTGCACGCAGCTATCATCCTGCATTTCCAGGAGAAAAGTAGGGCTTCTGGCTCCATTAAAGCCTCCAACTTCTGCCCTTCTCCCACAAAGGGAACTCCTAATCTTCCAGGGAAGGACCCTCAGACATGTATGCGTTCATACACAGATGTGGGTCATATGAGCCAACCATGGGGAGGGACGCATTTGGCAGTGTCAAGGTAGATGGAGGGAAGGTTTCCTACCAGGAGATCCTTCTTAGGCCTTCCTTCTTGGGCCAAAGTGCTGCCTTGGCCCCAAAGTCTTGGGTCCCTCCTTGGGGACCCTTCCTTAGGCGGCACTGCTGGGCTCGAGCTGAGGCCCTAAGCAGGGTGGATGCCTCCTTTGCAGGCACGTGGACCTTAGAGGAGTTGAGTGAAGCTGTGAAGATACCTGAGGCCTCCCTGCGGCGCAAGATGACCCTCTGGCTGCAGCAAGGGGTGTTGTGGGAGGAGCCCCCTGGGACCTTCACGGTGATCGAGGAGGAGCTGAAGGACCAGGCCAAGAAGTTGGTGCTGATCGATAGTGATGAGGAGGGGGAGGATTCAGCCATGGCCTCCCAGGCGGACCAGAAGGAGGAGGAACTGCAGGTGCTCATCTGGGGAAGGAGGGAGGAGGCTTCCCACCGTGGACCAGGACTGACCGTCCTGGCTAAGGAAGGAAAGCCAGAGAGCAGCCAGGGTCTGAGCACTGGCCCTCGATTGAGTGACCCTCCCTTGTCCGGGCACAGTGGTCACCTTACAGCTCAGGGCTGGTGTGGTCCCAGAAGCATCTGACTCAGAGCCCTGCAGTGTTCAGCCGCCGCTGCCGCCACGCAAGTGTTCTGATCTCTGCCTCAACCTTCTTTCTGTGTCCTTGTGCCCCCTTTGCAGGTCTTCTGGACCTACATCCAGGCGATGCTGACCAACCTGGAGTGTCTCTCCGTGGAGCGCATCCACAGCATGCTGAAGATCTTCGTGATGACGGGCCCCATCGTGACCGAGATCGACATCCAGGAGCTGCAGGCCTTCCTCCAGAAGAAGGTCCGAGACCAGCAGCTCAGCTACTTTGAGGGAGTCTACCGCTTGCCCAAAAGCTGCAACTGATCTGTTCACTCCTGACAGGTGTGGGTCACCCTCAGACTCTGGCCTGTGATGCTGCCTTGTTTTGCCTTGGTGCATGTGACCACGGGGTGTGGGGGTGTGCGCACAGCCCAAGGGGCTGCTAACAAAGCATTTGTTTTGATGGATTTCCTGGTTCATAATAAAGTGCCTTCCCTTGAGCCATTGGGAGTGCGGTGTATTTTTTCTCTGTGAATCGGGCAAGCTGGCTTGCTCCCTCTGGCAACTGGGTTCCTTGCCAACATTTCCCTCCAGCCCCTCTGCAGAATATCGGCACGGCTGGGGTGGTAGGCTGGACGGTTCTCTCGTTCTCTTCTGAAGGGCCTTCCTTGCCCACCTGTGATGTGTTTCTTATCACATGCTTCTTGCCAATGAGCACAGCCTCTTCATTGACAGGATACCGGAGAGGTGGGGAAAGGGACGAAGCTCTGTGTCAGGGTTCCCAAAAATACCCCTAGCGAAATAAAACTCCAAGGCAATGAGCTCCTCAAAGTTACACTTTATTAGAGATGTCATGTTGGCACATCTGGGAAAACCCGAATCGGAAGGTTCCAGGTTTTCCCCACCCAGTTGAAAGTTCACAACCCTGCTGCACACCCAGAAGTTCATTGCATGGTCCAATCCATCCTTCAGGCTCAACTGGAGACAATCCCCAGTCACTCCCATCCAGGTGCAGGCAAATGTCCTTGTCTCCCAGAAGAAAGGATGTTGTTATGGCTATTCTTCCACCACTCCTCCCAATTTCCTAGACTAACATATTTGGCAGTCAGGAAGCTAAAAGAAAAACAAAATGGCTTCCAAAACTGACACTCTGGGGAGCTCTCTCCCTCCCCCTCTCTGGGGAATCCCAGGAGCTAAGATGTGGTCCTTGGGAGGCCCTTGGCTCTGGGAAGGAAAAGTTCTCTTGGGCAGGAGGGCTTCTGTTGTTCGTAGACATGTGTATCAGCAAAGCCTTCTTTTAAGTCCCCAAATGCTTGTCACAAAGCGCTGATTGAAGCCGAGCTGGGCTGGCAGGAAGGCCGGAAGGAATCGGACGCTGGGGAGATGGAGAGCTCTCAAAGGCAGTTGATGGAAGGAGAACAAGAAGACGTGGGAAAAGGAACGGAGAACAACCGGCTGCCATGCAGGACTGAGGTAGCTTTCTGAGGCTTCCTTGGGAGGAGGGGGGACAGACTGCTGCTGCTGGGCTGGGAAGAGGCCCGCTGGGGCTGCCCATTGGCTGGCCAATGTTCTGGGACCTTGTGAGGTCACAGAGGCTCCCTTGGATTTTCTGCTTAGCTGGAGGCCTGGCATGTTTTCAGGGCTCCTGGGAGATGGTGAGAGGTTGGGCTCAAGAGCTCCAGGATGCAACTGGCCTGCCTGTTCATCATAAGCGTCCTCTCCTTGGCTTCATGTGAGGAATGGGCCTAATCGTCCAACTTGGGTTTGGGGCTGGGGTCAGACATGCTGCTAAGTATTTGGGCATTCAATCGGGGTCCGCTTGTAACCCCGATACGCATCAACATTTGAGATATCTGTAAGCAGGCCACAATTGGAGGGGAGACAAACACACAAAATATATAGATTTTGTGTGTGTGTGTGTGTGTGTGTGTGTGTTCGTGTGTGTGTTAAGGAAGAACACAGGCCAAATCTACATCCATTTTTGCATTCAGAATTATTCTTCCGTTGATTTGCAGTGGGAATGAGCAGGGTAGAGGCCTCAAGAGATCATCCAGCCAAATTCCACCCAAAACATAAAAAGAAAATAGTTGCCTCTCTGGAAGATGCCTGGAAGGAGGAGGTGGAGGACAAAGAAGGAGGATTCAGTGAGCGGATTGTTCGAAGAGCCGTAAGGAAGGTCAGCCTCTTGGAGCACTCACTGCAAAATGTCCGCTATGGCAACCTAGTTTAGGGGCCATGGCGGCTGCCCCCTTTGAATCTCATTGCTTCCAAATGGGCAAGTAACAGTCCCTGTGCTGTGGGGGTGACAGCATTGGCAGGAGGGTTGGAAGCAGAGGTGGTATTCAGCAGGTTCTGACCAGTTCTGGAGAACCGGTAGCGGAAATTTTGAGTAGTTCAGAGAACCGGTAGTAAAAATTCTGACTGGCCCCACCCCCATCTATTCTCTGCCTCCCAAGTCCTAGCTGATCTGGAGGAAATGGGGATTTTGCAGTAACCTTCCCCTGGAGTGGGTTGGAAATGGAGATTTTACAGTATCCTTCCCCTGCCACGCCCACCAAGCAACACCCACCAAGCAATGCCCATAGAACCGGTAGTAAAGAAATTTGAATCCTACCACTGGTTGGAAGGACAGACCTGGAAGAAGAGACCTAAAATGCAAACCCTGCCCCAGTGGGTGGCCTGGTATGAATCTGTAACCCAGTATTATCCCAACAGTATCCCGAAGATGCTGGAGATCACGTGGAAGCTGGCCACCGGCAAATCTCCATCCCCAGTAAGGGCTTCTCCCTCCTGTCTGTGGTTTGGGGAGGGAGGACTTTTGCACCCCTTTCCTCCCCGTGGTCCAGGGAATTTGGTGTGGCTTTGTTCGCTCCTACATTTGGAGGAGCAGGAATAAGAGTGGCTTTGCTCCACTGAGAACCAAGAAGAGAACTTGCTGGGAGGGCAGGAAGCAGCCTCCGAGGACAGTTTCTGTCTCTTGCTGCCCGGTGCCCCCAACTACAGAGAGGGCATCCGGCCACGGAAGAGTTGTGGGGGAGGGTGCCCCTCCTGGCCCTGATTGTGCTTCTCTTCACGTGCCTTCAGTGGGCAGAGCTGAGGGTAGCTGTCCTGAAGTTCTGGCCAAAGGGACCCTGGCAGTGATTGTGGCCGCCTTAGCCTTCTTGGGCTTCTTTTCCACTTCTGTCCTTCTGGTGGTGGCGGTCTGCGTCTTGCGGGTGGTGCATAAGCAAAGGTGAGTCTTGCAGGCCGGAGGGAAGGCCTGGCCTCTTCTGGTTGTCGGGTCTCCATCCTGCTGCCACCACTGACCTACTGCAGAAGCCTTCTGGGGGCCGGAACCAGCCAGATCTTCCCTGGGCTCTGCAGTCATTGCAAGCAGATTCCACCACCCTGCCCTTTGCCCTCCTCCTGGTTCTGCCTGAGGATCAATGGCTTCCCAGATGGAGATGGTGAAGCAAACTCTGCAGGCCGGAGGAGTGATCTCGTGGCCCAGGGTTGCTCAGTGCCTCCATCTCACTCCCCAGCGTTTTTGTGTCTTTTCTCTGTTTGTCTCAAGGAAAACAGGGAAGGAAGGGAAAACCAATTATCCTTCTTCCAGAAGGCTTCTTCCTCCTATCCCGTAAGTGAATCAGACCAAGGTGGGGTGGGGGGTCTCTCGAGATCTGGATTGTCCAGGTTGAGCAACTGAAGTGCCAGAAGTTACCAGTGTGGTCTCATCTAAAGACTTCAGCATCATGAAGAAAACTGGTTAGCCAGCCGAGGCTTTTGTGTGCTCAGACAGCTGGTCCTTGCCTGAAGCTTGGTTTGCTGCTTCTTTCTCCCTTAGGCCTTAGCGATGGAGGGAGAGAGGGAGGGAGGGAGGGAAAGTGTGTGCCAAAGATGGATGCAGACCTCTTGCATTCTTGCCCTCCACTTGCAGACCTCCTCGCCCAGAGCGTACATACATGAGCATGAAGCCACATGGCTCTGATCGCCTCCGTCCAGCCACCCCGTGAGTAACAGTTCTGGCATTGGCTTCAGAGGAGCCTGGTTTTAAGAGGCTCTTCCTTTATAGCCCAGACACAATGAGTAACTATTTCAGTGTGGATTTTGAGCCTCGGGATTTGGCCCCTGAGCAGTCTCAAGTGACTGCTTTAAAGCTACTGGGGAGAATGTTTTGCAGAAACCAAGGTGGTCTGAAAGGGTCTTCATTAGCACCATTAATTTCGGGCGCATGGCTTTACATCAGGAGAAATGGATATAGCTGATTCAGAAAACAGCCGATTGCTCCCCGTGTGGGATTTGGGTGCTTAATTCAAGGGTGGGGTAAGGAGGAGGTGGGAGGAGCTGGCCCCTTTCTCTGCTGGAGCACTGAAGCCCATTCTTGTCCCCCTCAGGCATACCACAGAGGACGCCTACCTGAGTGTCAATGAGCTGAATCCTGGTCCCAGGTGGGTCAGGGAGAGAAGATGGGAAGCGCCAGAGGGATGGGATGCCCTGGAAAAAAAGCATCTCTTTGGCAACTCTTTCAGAGCTGCTTTTATGTTTTGTCTAGGCTTCTCAAGGCAAGTGGTAGAAATGCTGTTTTAAGAGGAAAAAATATAGAGAGAAGGGCTTGCTTGGTGGCAAAGTCATGCTCTCTGACAGTATTTGGGGATCTTGTGGGGCACTAGTGAGGGAAAGGTCTTCTTCAGCCAGGGGTGAAATGTTCCCGGTTTGGACCAGATCACCCTATCCGGTAGCGATGGCAGCGGGTGGTTCGGAGAACCGGTAGCAAAAATCCCTGCTCCCCCTTATGCCCAGCTGAGCCACGCGATCATCAGAGGCTTTTTTTTTTTACTTTTAAAAGCATTTTTTCTATAACCTCTAAGAAAAAAAAGCCTCTGATGATCAGGCAACTCAGCTGGGATCGTCAGAGCCTTTTAAAAGCATTTTTTCTACAACTCTTTGGCCGAAGAGGTTGCAGAAAAATGCTTTTAAAAGTAAAAAAAAAAAAAAAAAGTTGGCCAAGTCCACCCAGTCACATTACCCCCTACCAAGCCACGCCCACAGAACCGTAGTGACAAATTTTACATTTCACCCCTTCAGAACCGAAGGTGGGTCTCAATGTGCCCTCGGGCCACCGCTGAGAAGCAGAGCAACCTCTTGGCTTCTCTTTGCACCATTAAAAATCAGGTGCTGCAGCCTTTTTTGAAGGAGCAAGGAAGTTAGGAGTGGATGCTTTCTGGCTCAGGCCAAGCTCTTTTCACCCAGCAGCCATTCCCTCCAGGCTCAACTGCCTCCGCTTCCTCTTAAAGGGATGGCAGTCAAAGTTAGAGTTAACAAATGATCACGAGGGTGCCTTCTCTGCTAAACCAGAAGCACCAGTTGTCCTGCGGAGGTCCAGCCCCACGGCCCCACAGCTATTCGTTGTGTTCTTTTCATTTCAGAACCCATCAGAATCACCACTACCAGAGCTTAAGTGCATCATCGCCACCCAAGTCAGTAGGAAGAAGGGGGGGGCTGGGAAAACGGGGGCGGAGGGGGGGGCAGCTGCACTTTCCCTGTGCAGAATGTATTTGCTCTTTAAAAGCCGGGAGCAGATTCCTCGTCTGGGTTTAGAATCCTTTTGGCAGATGCCTCTCTAGGTAGCCCTGGAGCAGAGATCCTGCCGAGCCCCAGCCCTCGTGGTCCGTCCCCCTCTCTCCTTGGCTGCTGCAATCATTTCCTTCTGCTTCCAGGACCCCCATGGAGAGGGAGTACATAATTCCCGAAAAGGTGCAGCCCTTTTCAAGGTGAGTGTGAGGGACCTGAGATGAAGTTTTAAATTATCCGATAAAAGGCCACAGCTAAGGCATTGCTTGTCCTATTTAGGACCTCCTTTAACAAGGGATCACAAGCTGACCTCGTGTAGAAGAAACTCGACATTTTTACTGAGAAATGTTCAGTGTTTCATTTTCTGTCAATGTGCCTGACCCCTTAAGGAAACCTTTCCTGTATGTACACTTGTACCTGTGAGCTACTAGGTAAACTTCCTATGTGCTCTGGTTCTGGGGAGCCTGTTTGGACTTTGCAGCATTAGCTACAACAGCTTAGAGCCTCCATGTCCAGTAGCCGCCCATCAGTAGATTTGTCGGTGGGCTGGGAAGGAGGAACAGAAGTGAGAAAGTTGTAGTCTGGACTTCCCGAAGGCACCTTAACTACCACCGACACCTGAGTGCCTGGTAGACTGCTCTCATCCAGCAGGATCCATCTGTATTTCAGCCCTCCCTCAGCAAAGAAGTATGTGAATGTGGAAGAGTCAGAGCCTACAGCTGTGTAAGTTTTGTGGAATGAAAGAAGTGTTCCTTCTTTTGAGCTCTTCCTCCTGCAGAGGCCTAGAAGGGACTAGTAATTAATGCCTGGGGGAATTGTAGCACGGCCATGTCAACTGAGGCCAAGCAGAAAAGGGGCTTTGCGCCTGAATGTCATCTCTGTGAACCTGTAGCCAGTGAATAGAGCAGCTAGATTTTTGGTTACTCTGATCAGAAGAAAGAGGTGGTCTCCTGGTCACCCCCAGCCTCTTTGCAGCTGCTGAGCTGCCTTCCTTGCTGCCCAAGGGGAGGAGATAGGAAGCTCTCAGCTTTCCTATCCCAGATCCTTCCAGCAAAAGTTCTGGTTATTTAGCACCTTCCCTAATAGGATGCTCTTTACCATTCTTTCCTTCCCAGAACGGGAGGCTCCCCAGAGATTGGGATGACACCTCAAGGGTGAGTTAGCACTTCCTGGGACTATGGGAGATGGGCAGGCTGGATCAGCTGTTTTGTGTGGAAATGTTTCCCCAAATATGTTCTCCTTGACCCAAAATGGTCAGAGGGAAACTCAGGTTTCAGGAGACAAGGCATTGGGAGGAAGAGGGTAGACTTGTACAAACCATCATGTCTTTAAAAGGCAAAGAGAAGGAAAAAGCCATGCATCTATGCTTCACCTCTGCATTAATGGGATCTGAACTGGGTAGAACTAGTCAGGAAAGGGAACTTGATGGTATAGTTGGATAGCTTGAAGGAAATGTCAATCCAGCATGCAAATTTCTTTTTTGGAACCATTATAAGAGGAACTGAAGATAGAACTGTCACTGTATTGGTGCAAATCTTTGCTGAAAGTATTTTATGCTGTTCTGGTCCCTTAATGTGCAAAATTATTCTGCCCATCCATGGATCTTGTCTTGTGTGAAATATGTCCTGGAGTGTGAAAAAACAGGCACCATATCATATTGGCTTTTCTTTCTCCATCTCATTGTTTAACAGACGTGACAATCACATTTACGAAGAAGTGGAATAGGAGACTCACCCTGGAGATGGGCTGATGCGCTGTATGAACTTTTCCTCGGAGTCCTTGGGCTGCAAAGTGGCTCCTCTGGCGGGGACCATGGGGACTCCCTTCCTATTAAACCATGCTTTAATTCCTCTTAGTCCGTTGATTTTGCTGCATGTGCCACAGAACCCATTTCTTGTGAGAAGTTTGGCTTGGCGTGTTATGATATGTTGCATTTTGCATCCCTACAAAGCTTTATTAAGTTGTGTAAGGTCCCAGAAGTTTCCCTGAGCCACTGAGATGCCAAAGAGAGTGAGACTCGAGACGAGGCTTGCAAAAAAATATCTTATTTGGCCAAAGTCTGGGTGACAAAACTATCCAAAATGTATGTATAGACAAAATGCATGTAAGGAATAGGCACACCCTGCAAGAGTGGCTCAGAGTATTATATACATTTTACGCTGATAAAAACAAAGTTAATCCAATCAGAGGCAAAGGTTCGTCACCAACGTGATTTTTAAAGCATTCTTTGTTCAGCCCCCTGTCCCTCTCCATGCTTTGCTATCTTACAGAGTATCCCTTGTCCTTGTGTGTTTGTGCTCCTAGGCAGCCCTCCTTATCTATGGAGCAGGACAGTGGTGAAATCCATTTTTTTTTACTGCCAGTTCTGTGGGTGTGGCTTGGTGGGCATGGTGTGGCTTGGTGAGTGTGGCAGCTGAAGGATACTGCAAAATCTCCATTCCCTCCCCACTCCTGGGGGAAGGATATTCTTAAACCTCTATTCCCACTGTACTCTGAGGCCAGCCAGAGGTGGTATTTGCCGGTTCTCCAAAGTGCTCAAAATTTCCACTACTGGTTCTCCAAAGTGCTCAAAATTTCCACTACTGGTTCTCCAGAACCTGCTGGATTTCACCCCTGAAGCAGGATGTTCCTGGGAACGGTTTCCAAGGACGTGCCTAGCTTTGAAGCAAATGACAGAACCGAGAAACCAGATAGAAAAGGATACAATTCTCCTACAGAATGAATTCCTAACAAATGATTCCTAACCATAGCAAAATACCATGTTTCCCCGGAAACATGACCGTTTGTCTTATATTTTTTTGAACCCTGAAATAAGCGCTTGGCCTTATTGCCATGTGCTCCAAAGCCCGATTGGGCTTATCAGAGGGTGTCTTATTTTGGGGGAAACAGGGTAGTACAAGCAACTTCTTTAACAGAAGCAAAGAGCAAAGGTTAGATTCATTTGTGTCACTATGTCCTTTCAGTTGGAAACTGAACCAGGCTTTGGCCTCTGCTCAGCTGGCATCTTCATTGGGAATGCAGTTGGGGAACCCGGGAAGGGGAGCATGGGGCTTGAGAGGAGGGCTAGCAGGCTTGCTTTCACCGTAGCAGCTGAGGACATTAAAAACAAGAGTGCTTCGGGTTGAGGTCTGTTTACAGCCCTGGGTCTCCATTGTGGAGGATGCTGTCAGCTGCCCTAGCGGCGTTGCTAAAGCAACGGAGCCCCGTTGCTAAGGAGCGGCTTGTTTACGGCGTCCACCGCAACCGCCACGCCGACAACGCAGCGCGCGGGGAGCTTGCGCTCTTAACGTAGTCGCCGTAGTGAACAGGTTCTCGCGCCTACATTCGCGCGGGCGACCGTTACTAAGAGACGCGTCTCCTCTTGGCCGCCAATTAGAAGTTTCCATCAGTCATTCAAATCACCCAATAGAAGAGGCTCCTTCGGGTTTTTTTCCCCCGTTGATAGGGTGCACGGAGAACCAACGCGAGGAGGAGGAGGAGGAGGAGTCTCGGACGACCGTTGTAACGTTCTAATAGAAAATTCGAGGGAGAACGTCCTCGCGCTAAAAAAAACGTTCAAGCGCGGGGAGGTTTTCGGTTAAGACTGGCATCTCAAACGCCCAATCAATAGCGCAGCTTGAGCATTTTCGCCCAATCACCATCGGCAAGGCGGATGACGGGAACGGTGGAATGAGATTGAGAGGACGCGCGCGACTACGCAGCTCCGCCCCCTTTCTTGCACCTCGTATATAAAGGTGTCCGTTACCTTGACGCAGCTAGTATTCGTCGTGCCGTCCGCGTTGCTCGTCTCGTTACCCGGACCGGAGAGAAGAGGCCGATCCCGCCCGTCGGTTCCGACGCCATGAGGGAGATCGTGCATTTGCAGGCAGGCCAGTGCGGCAACCAGATCGGCGCCAAGGTCAGCCGAGCCGGCCCTGAAGACGGAGAAGGCCGGGTGGGGCTCGGGAGGCCGCCTGCGAGGCCTTCTCATAGCTCTCCCCGCTTTTCCCCCCTTAGTTCTGGGAGGTGATCTCGGACGAGCATGGCATCGACCCTACCGGCACGTACCACGGCGACAGCGACCTCCAGCTCGAACGCATCAACGTCTATTACAACGAGGCCACCGGTGGGTCTGGCGGGCGCGGTGCCTCCGAGTGCCGGGAGCGAGGGGGCTCGGAGGTCGCCGGCGCTCGCGAGGGGCCCAGCGGGACGGGGACGGGACTTGTAGTCTTGGGGAGCCGGCGGGGCTTCGGGTGTTGCGGCTGAACTGGCCTTTCCTTCGCAGGCGGCAAGTACGTCCCTCGGGCTGTGCTGGTGGATCTGGAGCCGGGCACCATGGACTCGGTGCGCTCGGGCCCCTTCGGGCAGATCTTCCGGCCCGACAACTTCGTCTTCGGTGGGTGATGCCCGGTGGGGGGGGGGGGGGGAGGGCAGCGCATTTCATCCTTCGCTCATTAGGATTGGAGGCTTGAGGTTAGGGAATCCAGGGGTCGCTTACTTAGGCGATCTAAGTGTGTTTTGGGGAGGGGAGGGGAGGGGTGTTCGAGCGGAATTGCTGCCTTTCCGGGAGGGAGGACTGGGGAAAAAGGGCCTGCGGAGGCTGCTTTGCAGGGAGCCTCATTTCAGGAGCATTCCAGACAGGCAGGGCAGGCTTGTGCAAAGAGCTGCTCAAGCAGTCCAGGAGCATCCATATACAGAGGTGCCATGTCACTGGATGACGCCCAGACCCTTTGGCAAAGGTGGGGTCTGAAACCCTGGCATCCAAGTGGGCCCGTAGCTGCTGCTTAATGACGGATTTTGTGCACAATTCTGACAGAAGCACGTTAGGGGCTCATCTAATGGGTGTTCATTCTCCCACTCGCTTCCCCCTCCCTTGCAGGTCAGAGTGGAGCAGGCAACAACTGGGCCAAGGGCCATTACACCGAGGGGGCTGAGCTTGTTGACTCTGTGCTCGATGTTGTAAGGAAAGAAGCTGAAAGCTGTGACTGTCTCCAGGGTTTCCAACTCACACATTCCCTGGGGGGTGGCACTGGTTCTGGCATGGGGACGCTCCTGATCAGCAAGATCCGTGAAGAGTACCCGGACAGGATTATGAACACTTTTAGCGTAGTCCCCTCCCCCAAAGTGTCAGACACTGTGGTTGAGCCCTACAATGCCACTCTCTCGGTCCACCAGCTGGTGGAGAACACAGATGAGACCTATTGTATTGATAATGAGGCCCTGTATGATATTTGTTTCCGGACCCTGAAGCTGACCACTCCTACCTATGGCGATCTCAATCACCTGGTGTCAGCCACAATGAGCGGAGTGACCACTTGTCTGCGGTTCCCAGGCCAGCTTAATGCTGACCTGCGCAAGCTGGCAGTCAACATGGTCCCCTTTCCTCGGCTACATTTTTTTATGCCTGGCTTTGCTCCGCTGACCAGTCGGGGGAGCCAGCAGTACCGTGCCCTGACGGTGCCTGAGCTTACCCAGCAGATGTTTGATGCCAAGAACATGATGGCGGCCTGCGACCCCCGCCATGGGCGTTACCTCACGGTTGCGGCAGTTTTCCGTGGGCGCATGTCGATGAAGGAAGTAGATGAGCAGATGCTGAATGTCCAGAACAAGAATAGCAGCTACTTTGTAGAGTGGATCCCCAATAACGTGAAGACCGCCGTCTGTGACATCCCTCCTCGTGGCCTTAAGATGTCAGCCACCTTCATCGGCAACAGCACTGCCATACAGGAACTTTTCAAGCGCATCTCGGAGCAGTTCACAGCTATGTTCCGCCGCAAGGCTTTCCTGCATTGGTACACTGGGGAGGGCATGGATGAGATGGAGTTCACTGAGGCCGAGAGCAACATGAACGACCTGGTCTCAGAATACCAGCAGTACCAGGATGCAACAGCCGAGGAAGAGGGTGAGTTTGAAGAGGAAGCAGAGGAAGAAGCAGCTTAGACCCGAGGTGGGTTGGGGTCACACCTGTTTGTTCTGTTCAAAGGTGTCACAAACTTTATTTGTTCAAGACCTCTGTTTATGTGTGCTGTGTCGTCTTTATGTCACCTGTCTGATGCTGTACGGACATTAAAAACATTTTCATCCTGTATGTTGTCTCCGCAGTACTTCATCGTAATAAGCTTTCCGAGTGCTGTTGCCAAAAGTTAGGGCATAATTTTCACGGATAGCTGTGGGGGGAAGAAAAACCCCAAGTCAGCAGCTCTGCATGCTCCAACTGGTTCTTTCTGACATGTGGCAACACAGTAGGATCGAGTGGTATGCTAAAAGAGGGAATGGGTGTAAAGACTTCATTGTTCTTTCTCTGCAAGTAAAACTTCAGCAGGCAGAAGCAGTCACAGGAACTGTCTTTGGAAAGGTTATCAAAGATCTGGATGGGCAAAAAGCATTGCCGGTGCTCTCATTCGTCATAACCAGGACTAGGCAGCTGTCAGCCTGAGCCAAATTGCAGCTACTAACTGATCTCAGGTGTTCAGTTCTGTGTAGCCAGAGGCCCTGGGAGCAAATGCTTTATGTTCAACATAAACATCCACCTGCCCTGAGGAGCTAATGGGGAGAAATTCTTAACTTGACAGGTCCCACTTACTTGGCACAAACCCGGTGTAGAATGGAACCAGACCTTTGCTGTTGTAGATCTTTGTGTTGGGCCAGTAAGTGTGGGGCAGGCGCTGTCCAAAACTATACATGGGGTTTCTCAGCCTTTCCTGAGGAAGGACAAGTGTTGGGATGGGCTAAATTTGATGCTATAGCACCCCCCACCCCACCCCGGCTTTGCTGCACAGATTTAGCGTTGCAAGAGGCAAGGGCTGTCACGCTGGACCCCTGGTCCAGGAGTCTTTACCTAGATAAGAAATTATTTCTGGAGACCAGTTTGTCTCCAGACAGCATTGATGCTCAGCTATATGAGCTGTTTTAGGGAATGATGGACCCAGCCCCCCTGCTCCCTGTCCCAGTATTACCTGGTTTCTATCAAAATTGTTCATGGCATCTTTCACTCCATTCAGGTAGTTGACTCCCATAATCCAGGTGAAGCATGGGATAAATCCAGCATATCCTGTGAAAGGTTCCAGGGAGCTGCTCAGGACCAAAAGTAGCTGTGGCTACAAACCTTTTTATGCCTTCTAGGCCCAGAACAAGGGTGGGTGTGGGGCTGTGGCTTTTTTAAAACCAATCTTGGCTAGTGAGAATCCAGAAGGGGCTGAAGGTAACCTTGGGCACACAATAGCTCTTTGTTCTTCCCCAAATTATGCTTCAGCTCTTAGAACTCCTGGCCACCACCTTGGCATGCCTGGAGGGCATCAGGCAGACGCAGGTGTTCTATCCAACACTTCCCAGCCCAAATTGGCATGCCGGAGCAAGCTGCTGAAGGGGGTGGGGGGCACTGGCTGAGGCATTTGGGGCAGGGAGGGGCATGCTATGCTGTTAGTTCAAAAACTTTCATTGCTCAATGTTTTTTTTTTCAGAAAGGAAAGAGTGTTTCAATGTGCTTTTCCTGATCCCATTTTTATAATCCTGATTAAAGAAGCAGGGCCTACAGCAGGGAACACCCTGCGTGAGGAGAGGAAGACTTGACACTCTTATCTCACCATTGCCAATAGTTTACCTGAGATAGCTTTTCGCTGAATGAGGTTGGGCAGATCCAGCTTGGGGGTCCGGTCAAACCGCCTCACATCCACTGTTTCTGTTACCAGTGGCAAAGGCACTCCTTCGGTCCTGGTTGGCTGAGAGCCAAAGGAAGAACAAAAAAAACCCAGTTGTGTCTAACTTTCTGCAGGAAAAACAACTACCTTTCAAAGCAATGGAAGCCAGTTGCTGTAGCTGTTGAGGCTTCAGGCTAAACATTGGGAAATGAGTTTTAGTCCCAGTTAGGCACAAAGCCAGTTGAGGGACTGGGCCAGTAAATTATCTTTCTTGAGCTCCAAGTAGTAAAGTTTCTTGGACTAAAGTGCAAAAAAAACAACCACCCCATACTCCTTCCCATAGGTACAAATGAATATTGTCAGAAGGGCTCTTGCTGGTCTGATGTTCTAGGCAAATTCATAAGGAAATTGTGGCTCCCTCTGGACTTCAGGGGTAATGGGCTAGACCTAACAGTCCCAATCCAATATTTTCAGAAGCTGTTGCACCCATTAGGAGCAACAGATTGGACAAAGATCTTGACTGCTATTTGCGCCTTAGTCATAGATGGGAATTGCCCCAGGATTTAGGTGCCTCTGTTCTGTGGTCTGCTCATTACAGCTGGCCTCTATCTTAGGGCCTGTTTTTGAGCACCTACCTGATCAGTTCCTGGCCGGCAAGGAGGCCCCCTCCAGCCCTGTCCACACACCAAGGACATGCCAGTCTTGCAAGGTCCTCGGCGCTCCTCCTGACCACACACCAGCGCAATGTCCGGGTGGCAGAGAAACCTTTGCTCCCCTTTCGGGGAGACCAGCTGTGAACTGGCTGTGGCTGCAAACTGCCTCCACCCGGGCCCACAGGCCAGCCGGATGCCGGGATGACAGGGAATGACTTTTCTCTGAGCTGCCGGTGGTGCTGGATGGGTCCATCGAGGAGGGTCAGGCAGGGGAAGAAGAACCCTTGGCAAAGGGAGCTGGAAGTCTTGGCCTGGAATAGGAAAGCAACCGCTGTAGGGTACAAATCCTAGAGAGGGAAATAAAGGGAGAAAACCAACATCCTAAATTCAACCTTTTCAATCATTCTGGGGCTCCCTACAAAGCCAGCAAAACAGGTAGGGATGGGGGGCTGGCAGTCCGGGTGAAGCCCTGCCCATGTGCAGAAAGCCACCCTGGGGTAAGTCACCCACCCCTGGAGTGCTACTCTGGAGCAGGGTTTGTTTGGGTTTTTTGGTAAAAGGATCGTCGATGGTAGGATAAAATTTTTCTGTGAATTTCTATTAGGCCAGCTGTATAGTTCTGACTGTGTTACTGTGCCACGATTCAGTATTGTTGTTTAGTCCAGTCGGAGCAGTAGAGCCAGCAGGAGTCACAAGGAGCCTCCTTGCCCACTTGGGTCACAGCTTCATGTCCCCCTCCCAGCTTGCTTTCGGATGCTCACCTGTGTATCCTGGGATGTACGACTGGCCCTGATCCATCCTGTCTGGTGCAGGGAGTTTCTGCTGGCTGAAGTCTTCGGTGAACTTGGGTCTCCTCAAAGGTGTGAGAACGGAGCACGGGCTCTTGCGGACCTCAGGGTCAGTCAGCATCCTGGAGGTGGTTCTGCCGTAGCTTTGCCCAACATGGTAGCGAACCTGAGGGTAAAAGCCTCCATATCTGGAGAGGCACAAACAGGTAAAAGAAAATGAATCCACATGTTAGCATGCCAGAAAAATGGCATTAATTTAGCATCAATAAAAGTTGCTTGGCACCAATATAAGAGATCTGCTGTGGCAATTTTATTGGTTTAGGAAATCCAGTACAAGATTTAAATAAAGGAGCCTTCCCTAAAAAAGGGTGGAAAAGGAAAAGGGATTGGGAGCAATGGGGGTGGGGAATGTCAACCAAATATTTAAGCCAGAAAGCTTTTGGAAGGGGCACAGGGGCAGGAGAAGGCCTGGCGGGTAGCAGGCACAGCCTTCCCAAGCGGTAGACTGCCCCTGTACGGGGAAGCTCTGCTGGGAGCCTGGCGTTAAATCGCCTTTCTTCGGCCGGAGGCCTCCGAGGGCCGCGGGCTCACCCAGGGATGTAGTAGGGCTCCTGAGGGAAGAAGCTGCACTTCTGGGCTGCTGTCATGGTGGGCCAGCGCCGCTGCTCGCCGGGTGCCTTCAGGGGCCGGAGGGCCGGGCCCGGCCGCGTCACCCGGGCGACCATTGTGAAGCAGCCTCCAGGCGGAGGGACGGCGGCCTCGTCCCTGGCCAGCCCGAGGCCGAGCGGGGGCCGCCGCCTTTCCCCTCGGGGCTTCGCATCCCACCGCCGGGGCGGCCGCGAGGGGGCAGCACGGGACAGCCGACCCGGACGATGCCCTGCCTCGCGGGGACGTTGTTCCTCCGCCCGCCGAGCGAAGGTTCCGCCCGGGGGTTGCCGCGCCCGGGGGGACCGTTTGGGCGGCGCACAGGCGAAGCGCCACTTCCGGCCGCCTGGCCCGGTGAGGGGGCGCCGCGGGGGCCCGTCGCGCTCGGCTACTCTGAACGGGCGCGCGGTGGGGGCGGTGGGGAGGGACGAGGACGCGGCCTGCCCCGGCCCGGCGGAAAGGTCGGCATCCAAAGGCCGGGAAGGCTTGGCTCTCGCCCGGCTTTCCCAGCGCGGGGCTCCGGTAACCGGAGGGCTTCGCTTCCTTCTCCTCCAGCAGCAGCAGCAGCAGCAGCAGCAGCTCCTCCTCAGCTCCTCCCTCCGGGCGAGGAAAGCCCCGCCGGACTGAAGGCTGGAGGCCTCCGGGGAGCAGGTGGGTGCTCGCCCCCACGCCCGAGGGAGACGCGCCCCGGGAACCCAAGGCCCGGCAGGCCCTTCTCCTCAGCCGGGCCTCCCCCGTCCCGCCTCGGGCTGCTCTTCCGGGGCTCTTCAAGGGCCGAAGCTGGAGTGAGCGGCTGGCTCCATTCCGGCCTCCTTCCCGGTGGCCTTTGGCGAATGGCTGGAGGAAGCCAAAGGCCCGGGGAGCTGCCTGCCTCTTGAGGAGGGCCCCGGCTGGCACGCCATCCGGTCAGCCTCTCCTCCAGGGTCACAGCTGCCATCAGCCATGGATGCTTGCCGACGATCCCATAGTGGCTGTGGGTATTTTTCTGTGGAAAACACACCGTTGGCTGCTCTCCAAGCGTTGGCCGCCTTCCTCAAGTGCACCTGTTGGGCTTTGGCCACTGATCCCCCTGAGTCTGGTGTCCGGTCGGTTTCAGTGCAGAGTCCAGTGGTGTGACTGGGCTTAGCAGAGCTCCGAGACCCCCTTCCCAGATGAGCCTGCAGCTGTATCCCTGGAATGACTCGGCACCTGAGGCTCTCTGTGTGTGTGTGTGAGAGAGAGAGAGAGAGAGAGAGAGAGAGCACTACAGGTGGATGAGTTTTGAGCCTGTCTCATGGTTGATCAGTTTGCTGGACAGGATCTTCTTTCAGTGGTTTCTAATTTGGATGGAGCTGCAGGATCAGATCTTTGGAAATGAAGAAGATCCTTGAAGAGCTCTCTACCAGGAACAGCAGCTGACTTACTCTCCATTGTCAAGGGTTTTTGACTTTACTGCACTTTCATGTGGTTTGTGGGTGTTTTTTGAACACCCACAAACCACATGAAGTCTGTAGCCCCTAAGAAATGTTAAAGGGATCCCAGATGTCAGCTACAGAGACTGCCTGTGCTCCACAGGACTTTAGGGGGAAAAAAATCTACATCCTGGAAATCCTCTGTTGGCAGCGCATCCAGCAGCCCCTAATTTTTCAGCTAGACAGCAGCGCTTCTTAATTTTTTTATGTTCTGGAAGGTTTTTTAAAAAAATCTTTTAAGTTAAACTCTCAAAGTGAAAAACAAAACAAAAAAAGCAGCACACTCAGCAATTGTCCAGAAAAACATCTGGCTCTCTTTCCCTGTGCAGCTGTTTTTATTCTCAAGAATAAATGCTGTCTCCCTGTGCATTTCTTCAACCTTTAGCTCACTGGAGAGGCCATGCCTGGCGAATCCTGATGCCAGTGAAATGCCAGCCCAGAGAAGTTGGCTTCTACATATGCCTTTGACTTCCTGAGCTTCGTGCAGGGAATGGCCGCCAGGTCATGTTCCTTGAGTTGGGCTTGCATCCCACCTTTCTTTTGTAAGGGGGCCTTGGTTTAATCAGCGTCTCAGCAGCAGCCAGGAAGCTGCAGTTAGGCAACCCGGAAAGGGACCAAAGAAAGGTTGCCCTCCATGTTTCCTCAGCAGCTTTTCTTCCTGGCTTTTGGCAGTAGCTTCCCCAACGAGCTCAGACCTCCACCTCCCTTCAGATCGAATCATTTTCTTGTGATGAGGCTATCCCAGTCCCGAGGGTCAGGGGTAGCAGAAGTGACATTTGGTGTCTATCATCCACTTATTGCGAGTAATCAAATTCTCTCCTGCTTCCAGGACGTGGGGGCAGCTGTCTTCCATCCCCCAGAAGACACCCTGGTGGAAGATTGCCCAAGTCACAGCTCCAGTGGTGAGGCCCAGCTTCTGATGGCTCTTCCTCCTCCTTTTCCTGGCTCCTTGTGTGGAGTCCTTCACCCTCTGGGGGTCCCCTGTTTTTAGATACCAGCCAGTAGGTAGTTTTTGAAATGTGAGGTTGGCCACAAGACTACCAGGTAGTTGTAGAGAGGTAGGTATTTCAGGACTGTGGGTCTCCTTCTTTAAATGAGTCCTTCTAAAACCATGGAAGGGTTTTACTTCCCTGCAAGTTGGGCCCAGAGGTTTCTTGGGACTGTTGGTGCAAAACCCCTTCCCCACTTTCTTGGACTTTCTTGGATCTGTGTGCTTTTGTGCATCCCTTCCCTCCTGCATGTTTAGAAAGCTTTTCTAATTCTTTTTGGCTTTGGGAAAAAGGAGAAGGGAGAGTCCACAGCAACACCCAAGGCCCTTTTTTCTGGCTCCCTCATTCCAGAGGGAGTGGAGGGTGGGCTACCAGGTTCCCCCATCTACGTTTTGCATAAAACAAGCTTTAGCAGGGAGACCTTTGGGGACCAGGAAGAAATATGATCTAAATTCTCTTTGGGTAATAGCTAGTTTGTGTCCTAAAGGAAATTAGTCCTATAGAATGTGTGGTGGGTAGGATAGAGATGTCCGCGGGAGGGGGTGTACAGTACAGGAAAAATTGCTTGGAGAAGCCAAGTTCAGTAGAAAAACGTTTTTAAGGTTGGAAAGCCCTTGGTGAGGGAGCCTGTGAATATTTCCAAAACTTCCCAGAAAATTCTAGCCCAGCCACGGTCTGAGAAGACTGCATACTTCCACCAGATGTAAGCACTCCAAGGAAACTTTGGCTGCCTTCTTGGATTCTCTGCTATGCTCCAGCCCTCCCCCCATCTGATCGGTCTAGGGGTCGCCTCTGCCTGTCACCCTCCCTCTGTCTGTCCTTCCTGCAACAGGCAGCCCCTGTTCAGCTGTTTCCAAGACAAACACTGAATTTGCAGGGAGGGGGGAGCTGCTTCCTCAAATTAAAGGCCTGGAGCTCCAGGCTGTCAGCCTGCCAAGCTGAAGGCCCAGCTCCCTCTTCTTTGCAGGCAGAGGCTCCAGCAGGCAAGAGTCGCTCTCTACCGGAGTCATATTGTTCCGATCTCTGGGTGCCCCTCCCCCTGTGCTGAGCTATCAAGTCCCCCGCCCCCCTATGCACACACTCGGGGACTCCTTTCACACTGTCCTTTAAACCCTCTTTCTTTGATGTCCAATTTTGAGAAGCAGAGACAACCACACCTGCAGGGTGAGGTGCTTCCCCCCTCCCTCTCCATTTTGTCTGTGGGTGAGGAGGACGTCCTGGCTCAGACTGAGCTGCGGCTGCCTGCAAAGGACCGCTTGCCTAGCATCTCCCAGGCCTCAAAGGCTGGAAGCCTCAGCTGTCCCATCCCAAATTCTGGGGACCAGATCTGGCACCTTCCCACCCCTGTCCCGGGAGAGTCCGCCTTCCAGCCCTCTCCCACTTCTGGGGGACTGCAGGATGGGAGGGAGGGCTCTCCTGCTCCTGTCCAGGGGGCTGTTTTCAGGAGAACTGGTAGTTTCAGGGCTGCCATCTCAATATGTCAAACTCGCATCATCACGTGAGACGTATCATGACTTTTCCACCCTTCGCTAAACCGGGAGTAGGTGTGGCCAGCGTGTGAGGCATCTGGCCCGCGGGCCGCGAGTTTGACAGCCCTGCTCTAAGGTGTCTTTCCAGCCAAGGCACTGGAGCCTGCATTTCCTGCTCCACCACGTAGGGAAAATGGGACGCCAAGGGAGGGAGAGGCAGTTGTGGGTCTCTGCGGAATAGCACTTCCTCGAAGGGAGGAAGGTCAGAGGGCCCAGCCTGGCCAGGAAGCAGATGATCTTGTTGGCCCTGAGTTCCCAGGGGGCCTTCCTGGGTGGAGCGGCTGGCCAGGGGAGATCATTGCAACAAGCCCTCCCCCCAGGCGACAATGTTCTGGATGGGCAAAGGTTTGGCCCTTCGGTCTTTATTTCTGTAATCATGTTAACCATTTAGATGAGCGATGGAAAGGCAAAGATGTTTTCGGGTTTTGTTCAGGAGACACTGATGCCCTCAGCAGGGCAGGAGGGCTCTCCTTGGCCCAGCCATAAGCTCCACCCAAGAAGTGTGTGCATATGTGTGTTTGACGAGAGCCCTGGGCCCCGCGGATGGAAGGAGCCACTTTACATTTCATTTCTCTCCTTTTCTGGGTTTTCTCTCCAGAGCAAGACCCCTTGCTCCAGAAACTTCACGCTCTCTGGGCATGGAGGGACATGGAAAAGGTGAGTTTGATAAAGCGGCTTACAAGAAGTGGCCAAATTTGCTGCAGTGCATGGGGAAATCCACCCTCTCCTCTTTCTGAAGAGGAAGCTGTGTGGCCTCTTCCTCTTGCTCAGGCCCCCTGGGGACCAGTGGGGGGCTGCTTGGTTAACAGCACAGGTGTTCCGCTCCCACCACGAGGGGATTCTGCAGGTCACCTTGGGCTGGCTCCCTTTCTCCCTCGCTGGGAGGATGGCCCTCTCGAAAGCCGAGTGTCCCACGTGGGATGTGTGGCCCGTGGGCTGGCAAAGCAGGGTCAGTAGAGAGCCTTCTGGGTTTCCCTAGCTCCGGAAAGAAATGCGTCTGGGCTTTGCTGGCCTGCACGACCCATTGGCCTGGCTCCTGGACGTGCTGGATTGCTGTGCAGACTGGAGAGGGCCGGGCTTGCTGACCCACATTGTCCGTGAACTGCAAGGCTGGATAAAGAGCCGTGCCAGTGATCAGCCGGTAAGGAGACCGCCGGACTCAGCTCGGGCATAGGCCTCAGAGCCTTGGGGTACCCTGGGGAGACGCAGAGGTCTTGCCCATTCGCCTCTCGAACGGATGGCAGTGGAGCGGCTTCTCTTCCAGAGGGGTATCCGGGCTCCTGCTGGGGCTTCTGCAGGCTCCCCTTGGGACCAGATGATGTTGGTTGCCACTTCTCTCAAAGTTTGGCATTTCCTACAGACTTGGAGAGGGAAGAGGGGTCCCCCATTTCTTGGTTTCCCCAATTTCAGCCTGCGTTGCTTTGGGTCTAGGATTCACAGTCTGCCTCTCTCTCTCTCTGTCTCTCTCTCTCTCTCTCTCCCCTTCCCCCTCTCCCTCCCTCCCTCCCTCTCTCTCTGGTGTCCTCAGTCTGGCTTAAAGCTGGAGAAGCTGCAGGCCCGTCTCTTTCCCTTGCTCGCCCGCTGCAATGTCAGCCTGCTGCAGCCCCTGATCAGCATCTATCAGCTCCACACTGCAGACCGCCACCATTTGCTGGGCTTCATCAGCCAGCTCTGCCAGCAGGGGAAGTTCAAAGAGGTGAGGTGCCCTCGCTTGACCACTGGGAGGCAGCGTTGCTCTCCCTCTGGGACTGCAAGGAAGGGGCCTGGGAGCAGGTGGCGGCAGGCGCAGGAGGGCCCGGGCCCTCTTCCCTCTTGCCAGGCTCCTTTGGGAAACCAAGTGGGAATCCTGTGGGCCTGCCTGGACTCTGCCTCCCTCTGAGTTACCCCCCAGCCAGCCGTTCCGAGGGCCTCTGTGTCTGCGCCTGCCTGAACCGTCCTTGCTGGCACGCACCCCCCCCCCCCGGACAAAGGAGGGCCTTCTTGGGAACGAAAGCCGTTCTCCTACCAGCAGCCATAATTTGGTGCCCCCATGATGTCTCAAAGGACATGGAAGGCTCCTTTGACTGGTGGGGCCCCACAGCTTAACATGCCACGATATTTCATGTTGGAGGGATGGCGGCTGCTTCGGGGCGGTATGAAGGCCCTCCATTGTCCATTCAGTTGTTTTATTTATGTTTTTTAAACAACTCCTAAAGGTAAAAAAAAGATGATGATATCTGGGCCTCTAAAAAGCGGGGTCAGCTTGTGCCTGGAGATTGGGCGGAAGGAGGCGTCTTTCTCTGGGCTGCCTGGAGTGGAGCAATTTTTCTTCAAAGGGCTGCTCTGCTCCGTTCAGCTGGAGGCCTCCCTCGTGGCTACAGAGACGGCCCAGGCTGCATCCCGGCCTGGCAAAAGCCTCTTCCTTTTGGATTACAAGGGGCAAACGCTTCCCTCAGTCGGACTATTCGGCATGGCTCTGCTAAGTAATTTGGAGTCAGATCTTCAGGAAATGTTCTTTTCTCTGCAGCCCTATGAGAGGAGGGCAAATGATTGGAGGTTGTGTGTGTGCGTGCTCTCATTTGTGAAAGAAAGAGGGGGGGGGATTGAATCCAGAATAACTCGATCCCCAGAGAGGAGGAAGGAAGGAAGGGACCGCCAGGCAGAGGCTCCGTTTTGAGAGATAATTTACCCTCAGATAGCCCGGCTGAGAAAGAAGGGAAGGACGGCGGTCTTGGGGGCTGCTGGGGACTTCCCAGGTGGGCCTCTCCCTGGTCACAGAGGAAAGTGGCTAGTCAGGCATTTGCAACCGTCCAGCATCCCCGCACTCCTTACCGGCCAAACTCACGGCTGCCCTCACTGGTTCCCATTGGATTCCATTCCAGAGAACAACCAGTCCCAAGGGTATATAAAAATAACAGCAAGGGAACGGCATGGAGGCACAGTTGGGTCTGCTCAGTTTTTTTTCTTGCCGGCCTCCTCTCTCCCCTCTCACTCTCATTTCCAAAGCTGATCAAAATAGAAGCCTGGGAATGGCTTTGGCCCTCCCTCCCTCCCTTCCTCTCCCACCCCCACCCCTACCCCTTTGGATGTCTTCAGCTTTTCAGAGGGGGGCAAAGTTAGGTTCGTGTTGGAGGCTCTGCGTTTAAATCCCCTGTGTGTTTAAAGTCACTTTGTGCACTTCTGAATGAATGGCCAGAGAATTCTGCACTCCCAAGCGCTTGCTGGGCGCCCCTGCAGGCCGGGTGTCTCAGCGGGGGGTGGGGGGTGGGGATGGGGGAAGCTTTGTTTGTAAAGGGGGTGGGTCAGGTGAGGCTTTTGGACCAGGCACTTGCATGAATAGCCCTACCAGAGGTGAATAACATTGGTGGAGTTCTTCATGCCCTCTGCGTTTGGCTGTTTGCTTGCAGATGTTTCATTGCCCAACTGGACAGTTCCAGCGGGGTGAGTCACTGGTACTTGAGGACGCTGGGTAACTCTTTGGGGCCAAAGAGTTACCCAGGGAGGGAGATGTGTCCCTTCTGAAATGTGTGTGTGCTGAGAGGGGGTCGGATGCCCTCTTGCTGTGCTTGAAGGGGCCCAGAGAGAACGTTTTGGCAATCTCTAAAGAGCTGCCTTGAAAAATGCCAGCAGGCCAGCCTGTGTGCGTGCGTGTACGTCCACAAACCCTTTCTGCTGACTCTTGGCACTGCTTTATGAACCCTCCTCCCACCTTTCCTTGTTTCATAGGCTGCCACTTTAAGTATAAAACTGAAACTCCAACCAGACCTGGAATTTGAGAAGGTAAATTCCGTGCAAAATGCAGATGATGTCCTTGCAACATCTTCCTGCTTCTCCCTGAAATACTAGCTGTCCATCTGCAGGGACAGAGAGCATTCAGGGTTGTTTAGCCTGATTGGGTAGCTCTTCTGGGGTTTCTTCCTGCAGCCTTTTAGACTAATGAGAGTGCGGCGTGCCAATGCGCCATCCCCCTTCTGTGCCCTAGATGTGTGTTCCGTTGCTGCTTCAGGACAAAACGGAACTCGTTGAAGCTTACGTGGAAGGTAGCCCTGAGCTGCAGCAGAGCCTCTTGCGGCTCCTGGACTCATGGTCCGTTCCAGGCTTCCAGGTCAAAGACCTGGCAAGGTGAGGGGGCTGCTGGGAGGCTGCCTGGGGAGGACTTCCTTTCCTGGGGGAGCAGCATTCCCTCTCCTCAGTCAGCTGAGCTCTGGCAGCAAAAGGGAAATAGCTGCTAACTTTCCTAAAATTTGCTCTGCAGAATGAGTAAATGTTATTTCTTCCTCCTTGTTGCTTTTGTTCTTACTTTACTATTGCTTATAATTAATGTGAGGAAGGGGAGCCTCCCTTGAGCACCAGAGTCCCATCTGCTGAACGCCAAAAAGGCCCCCACACAAACGGGCTTCAGACCTTTGCTTCCGTGTGAATTCAGTTTCAAGAGAGTCCCCGAATGTGTGTTCTGGGCTCCTGATGAATCAGAGCACACGGGGCAGAGGTGGGGTATGTGTGCCTGTATGCACAGGGGGGTATCCTTGGTTAAGTGGCTGGAAGGAATTCTGCCCAGGATCAGGGGCAGCTGGCAGGAGGCCTAGGGATCTTGCTGGCTGGACTGACTCCCTCCACCTGCTTGGGTCCCTTTCAGACAGTATCAGGCCCTGCCTGGCAAGTGGACAGAAAAGATCAACTGCAGGACGATGCATAAAATGGCCTTCCGGATGCTGGACAGATACAGCCTGGACCCAGGTGGGCACGCCCGGCATGTCCCGGTTGGGGAGGGGGGGGAAGCCCTCATCCTGGGGGACAGTTGGGAGCTGGATGGAGTCTGGGGTTGCTCAGGGTTGTTTTTGATGGAGAGAGGGGGGAGAGGACTGGGTCCCACAGTCTGAAGGGACCAGAGAGAGCAGTTTCCACATGAGAATCCAGTTTCTGCCCAGAAAGAATGCCTGGCCCAACCCTGCACGTCCTTCAGGACTGTGAAACAAATGGTTATTTTTCATTTACCGGACAGATCACCAACCGTGTGCTCCCTCCCTTGTTCAAATGCAATTTCGAGAATATCTTTTTTTAAAAAGGGGGCTAGAAATTGACTTCTGAAAAAAGCTTCAGCCTTTCAGGATTGCCAGGTCCGGTATGACCACACACGCTCCACTTCAGCACTTTTACCACACTCACCCTCCCTAAAATGCCCCCACTTCAAGCAAGCCAGGTTCTTCTTACTGCTAAAATAAGCTGTGAACTCAAGGCCGGTGGTGGTTCGAATTGGCCCCCTGTGATTGGCAGGGCCTTTCCAGCCATGTAACGCTTGCTGAGAACGGAGGGTGAGCTAGCCTGCCTGGGGATTGCAAGCACCACAGGGGCCTGAAGGGCCAACCCTGGGCAGCCTTGCGGGTGGCTGTGGGTCGCCCTCCAAGGTGAGCTGCTGCCAACAGCAGAGGGCAGGCGAGAGCTGCCCTAGAACGCGGGACTCTCCTGCATCTCTCTGGGGAAAATACCTGCTCCCTCCTCCTTTGTTGCTTGGAATCACACACACAGGCACACACTCATGTATTTCAAGGGGGAGTTGAATAGCAGAGCCTTCCAGGTGTTGGTCCCTCTGAATCTGTTGGGACTAAGCACCCTGCATCCTCGGTTTCTGAGCCTTAAAAGAGTTCGGCACAAGGCAGGGGTGAAGGGCCTGGGCAGGTGGTAGAGTGAGCCCTGCTTGGTCCCTTTCTCTGCTTACACTGACCCATCTTTTCTCCCCTCCCCCCCCCTCCACAGTGCTTTGTCCCCATATTCTCAACCAGCGACACCTGGGCACTTTGAAATACCTGCTGCACAAGAGATTTGTTGAGGTATGTGGTGGGAAGGAGGAGAGTATTAAAAGGCCATGGAGGCTCCAGTCCAGTGTCTTTATGGCATTGTTTTGCAACGTCTCTTACAGAAATCCATGACGCAAGAAAACTGGGCAGATCACATCCAGGTCAGTGTGATTTTGCTCCCAGCCACGTAGATCTCTGTGGCTGCTGTCCATGAGATCGTAACGTGGCTGGCTTGGTTTGGGTTCAGGCTGGGTGCCAAGGAGTTACTGTGGTTTGCCAGGTAGAGCTGCATGTCTTGCTCTATGGGGACCGTTGAAACCAACCGTGGCTCATAGCAGGGGGTGACTCTGTCTCTGGTCTCCTGTGCCGAAGCAGGTGAAACGACCGCCTTCGACTCAGAACCATAAGTCACACCTTCACTTTTAGGTGAGAAGTCCATCAGAGGCTTCCGGTGTGCAATAAATGTAGGTCATGCTTTTTCTCTAATTGGAGACGTTACCCATTCCAGCAGGTTCTGTCAACCTTCCCAACCGTTCCTCCACCCTTGTAGGTAGTGTGGCATCTTTCCCTCTCTGGGCACACAGTAATCCCACTGGTTCTGGGTTTTCATTTTGTGTTGGGGTCGTCTGCGTTAGACTCAGTTACATTTTGAAGTGCGTTCATCAGAAATTGTCCTATGGTGTGATTATTCCAAAGCGGCCATGTGAGCGTAGACTTAGAAAGGTCACCTTGGAGAGCATCAGCCATACCGAATGGGAGGACCGGGAGGATGCTGCTTCCTTTGGAAGATAGTAATGACGGGCTGAGGGGAATCTAGTGGCACTGCCAGGGCGGTGAGTGTCTGAGCGCATTCTGTCTGCCCTCTGAAGCATCCCGGCTCCACCACAGAAGAGCGCTGGCGGATTTTACAGAAGGGCATTGAGAGAGATTAGAAAGAGGAAGAAAATGCCTCTGACAAGCCTTCCATTGGTTAAGGGCCTTGCAAACTTCCTGTGTGCTGCTTTGGCTTGCAGCCAGGTAGACGCCTCAGATAGGTCTAAGGAGCTGTCACCCAAGAGCCGTCCACCCCACTGCAAAACGGGATTTAGGGAATGCCAAAGCTCAGCCTTCAGCTTATTTGTAGCTCCAGGGGGATGGAGCTGCCCTTGGGAGGCATCTGCTTCCCCCACCCCCACCCCGCCCATCCCCATCCCCAAAAGCACAGCAGCCACCGAGGCAGCTCAACAGCAGCAGAGAGGGAGCTATGCTGGGCCTTCCGCCTTGCTTCTGTTAATCCCCTTCCTCAGCTCAAATGGGCCATAGAAGCAGGCTGTCCAGAGCCCCCACTGCAGACCGCCACTGGGGGGTGGAGGACTCCCCCGGCTGAGAGTGCGGATGGGCCTTGAATTCGAGTTGCCCGGGCAGCTTCCCATTGCTGCTGCCTCCATCTTCCTGCCAGGGCGGGTGGGCGGGCGCAGACGCAGCCTCCTGCTGCTGGGTGCAATGGGAGGGCGAGAGAGCTGCCAGGCCTCATTCCTGAGATGCCTCCAGCCACCTGAGGGGTGGCGCTCCTGCTGGAGTGGGGATAAATCACTCAGTGGCCCAGGTGAAGAGTGGCCAGGGGCTGCGGACTCCGCCCCCACCCTACCCCAGCCCCAGAGAGGAAGAGGGACTGGGGCAGAGCCAAAGGGAAGGAGGCCCTTTGCCAGGGGAGAAGTAACACTACACAGAGAAAGCTTTCCCCTCCCCACCCACCCCCCACTGGAAAACAGTCAGTCGGAGGAGCCCTGGCCGAAGCTGTTGTGTGTGGGGGGAGTTGGAGCCCCAGGAGGTCTGCAGGTACCCTCAGCCACTGTTTTGGCCCCCATGGGATGGTCTTTCCTTACTCCTCGCAGGGGGTGGCCTTTTGTTTTCACCTTTTGGGCCCTCCAAGTGATTCCTGTGCACTAGCCACCTCCTCCTCCTGGATTCCCCCCCCCCCAGCATCACTTGTGCCAGAGGCCACTTGGCTTGTTGGCTTGGAGCCAGCGCCTGACGCCCCCCTTGGCGTGCCCGGAGCAGGACAGGAGGGGACACTGCCCCCCAGCTGGCTCTTCTTCCCCGTGTTGCACCAGCCCTGCTGCCTCAGCGGCTCTGCAGGGAACAGGCCAGGTTCCCACACGTTACCTGTCTTCTGTCGCTGGAGAGAGGAATGCGGCCCAGCCAGTGTGTTGCCTCCGGTGCCGAACCCATAAAACAAAACCGGAACGGTGGGAAAGGCCGATGCAGGGCTCCAGTTTCAGGCTTGCCTGCTTCTTGGGAATCCCACACAGAAAGACGGAAGGAGAGGAGATGACGAGCCAATGAACAACGAATGTTCCTGGCAGCTCTTCCTCCCAAAGAAGACCGGAGTGGTTGGTGGGGGGTGGGGGGGGGGGCTTAAGGAAAGTATTTATTTAAACAATAAATACTAAACAGTAACACTAAAACAGAGTTTTCCGTAAAAGCATAAAGCAAAATGAGTGGCAGGGAAGTCTAAAAGCGGTGGAGAAAGACCCTCCCTTTCCCCCATGGCTGGGTTGGGGGTCCACAGCCCACCCATTAGGAGTAGATCCAGAGATGCCTATCCTGCCGCCCAGGGAGGGGGTCTTCGCTTTTGCCTTCCCTGACCCGGAGCAGCTCTGGTCTCGTCTGCCTCCCCGGGATCTTTGACTCCCAAATGCCCCGTGGGCTGCACTGCCCGAGGCCGGTGGGACTGGGCTGCCTCTCGGCCCACCGGCATCCCTCTCTTCTCTCCCTGCTTTCCAGGGCATCGTCCAGGACAACCGGTGGTTGCAAGAGCAGCTGGTGCAACTCCTGGTCCGTTACGCTGGCCTGGGGGTTGCTGCCCAGTGTGCCCAGCACTACAGCCTCCTTGGGGACAGCTTGCCGCCTGGCCTGGCAGCCCGGATGGAAGAGCCGGCCATCGCGGAGAGGTAGTAAGACAGGAAGCATGCATGTGTGTGTGTCCTTTCCTGTGGCCGGCAGAATCGGCCACAGGCTCCCTGGATGCCGGGCTAGGAAATCACAAGGGAAGGTCTGCTAGAGACGTCCTTGAGTCTGCCTCGTTCCTCCAGCCTTTGGGCCGGAGCTTCCAGCCCCTCCAAGAGGGACCCTTCTGGGCAGGTGGGGTGCTCTCAGCTTCCGCGTCTCCTAGACTTGGAACAAGAGGGGAGCCAAGGAAGTCCCCAGTAGGTCTGAGGCATCCCCAGGCGCTCCTCCTTCAGGAAAGGGGGCAAAGTGGTGAAGAGCAGCACTGGGAGCGTAACCCTCCGCCTTCAGATGGGAGCACCAAGTTGGGTTGCTTCCCAGGCTAATCAAGAAGCCGACTTGCAAGGAAAAAAGGCGGCTAATTTTGTTTCAGAAGAGCGGGCAGCTCCAGAAATGGCTTCTTGGAAGGAGGGTGTTGTGTTCCACCACATCCTTCGACCGAAGATGCCCCCACCTGCAAGGCCCAGGAGCCTCCTAGGCCGCTTCTTAATGCTGCTTGTGGCTGCACACAATTTCAGCCACTGGGACTGGTGTCTGAGTGTGGGGAATGTCTTCCTTCTGTTTGTTTAAAAGAAGCCTCCCCCCTGCCCCCCCCCTCCCAGGGACGATGCCTCAGAGCAGAGCCCGAGTGCTTGGGACAGCATGAAGGAGGGCTGCTATCGGCTCCCCGTGCCAAGGGCAGACATCCTTTTCTTGTCCACCTGGGAAGAGGTGATGGCGTGCCAGGAACAAGTGCTCCAGGTGAGGACTCCCCTCCCCTCCTCTGGCTCTGGGGCTTTCCCCTGCTTAAAAGGGCCCCCCTGGAAGTATCCCTAGTTTCACTGAGTCACTTAATCCGGGCTGGTGCCCAAGGACGCCCTTTCCTGAAGTGCCCAAGCAGGGAGACCCCCTCCGCAACCTGGGAAGGGCCGAAGAGCCTTCATGCTTTTCAAAAGCTCTGTGGGGCCCCTGTGGCCCTCCCTTCCACAAGCCCCACAGAGGGGAGTCCGGCTGTAGCTCCTCCTCCTCAGCGGCATCTCTGGGGCAGCGCCCGGGGAACACGAGATAACCCACCCGCTGTCCTTCGTCCACAGCCTGGCCAAGTCGTTGGCATCGACATGGAGTGGCGCCCCTCGTTCAGCACCATTGGAGGGAAGCCGCGGGTCTCGGTTGTTCAGCTGGCGATTTGGGGCCACGTCTTCCTCTTGGACATGTTGCAGCTGCTTCAGCAGGGGGAACGGGAGGCCCAGGCTGCCGTCTGCAGCTTCTTCCAGACTCTCCTGGCCGACCCAGCCATTGTGAAACTAGGCAAGTGGCATGGGGCCCCTCCCGGGTGGGCCCCTTAATGGGGCCGGTGTTGTTTCCACCAGAATTATGTGTCTCCTGCTTTCTGACTGAGAGGGTTCAATCACTCAATCAATCAGAATAGAGCTTGAAGGGACCTTCAAGGTCGTCTAGTCCAACCCCCTGCTCAAGCAGGAGAGGCTAAACCCATTCAGACAGGTGGCTGTCCAGCCTCTTCTTGAAAACCTCCAGGGACGGAGCTCTTCCACCGGTTGATGTTTCTCCTTAATTCCAGGTTGCTTCTCTCCTTGTTGAGTTTCCATCCGTTGCTTCTTGTCCTGCCTTCTGGTGCTTTGGAAAATAGGCTGACCCCGCCCCACCCTTCTTTGGGGCAGCCTCTCAAATACTGGAAGACTGCTACCATGCCTCCCCTTGGTCCTTTTTTTCTCTAGACCAGCCAAACCCAAATCCGGCAACCGTTCTTCATGTTCTTCATCACCTTAGTTGCTCCTCTTTGCTCTTTTTCCAAAGTCTCAACATCTTTTTTGTAATGTGGTGACCAAAAGTGGAGGCAGGATTCCAGGGGTGGCCTTACGAAGGCCGTCTAAAACAGTGCATTTAAAGTGGTCTCCCAGGCTTTCCTTGGGGCTCTGGAGCAGCCGAATTTGGGAGCAGACCTGAGCCAGGCTTCGTGTCTCTCTGCAGGCTACGGGATGTCAGGAGACCTGCGTAACCTCATGGCAACCTGTCACATTTCCAGAGATGCGGACCTGGAACTCTGTGGCATTCTGGACCTCCAGCTGGTACACCAAAAGGTCAGGAGAGGAAGTGGAATTTCTGGCCCATGGAGGGAAAGGAAACCCCCCCTCCCCCCCCCCCACACACACCCTGTCCCCTGCTCTTTTGGGGACCCCCCCCCCCCCCCCACCTCCATATTTCAGCCTCTCCAAACCAGGAAATGCATTCCCCAAGACTTGGCCCAAATCCAGGGTTAAGGACTCTGCCGGAACACTGCCTCGCCTCATCTTCCTTCCTTCCTTCCTTCCTTCCTTCCTTCCTTCCTTCCTTCCTTCCTTCCCTCCCTCCCTCCCTCCCTCCCTCCCTCCCTCCCTCCCTCCAGTTGCCGAAGCGCTCCAAGAAGAGCTGCCAGCCAGCACTGGACCCCTGCCCAGCGAAGGACAAGGCCTGGGGAAGCAAGCTCCCCGAGAAGGGGCTCAGCCTGCTGGTGCAGGAGGTCCTGGGCAGACCCCTCAACAAGACAGAGCAGCTGTCCAACTGGGAGAAGAGGCCCCTTCGGGAGACGCAAATCCTTTACGCAGGTCTGGCTCCCTTGCCCCCTTTTGAGCTGACCAAGAGGGCGCTTTAGTGGGGTGCAGTGGCAGGGGGGGGGACCCTCAAAAGCTTTCCCGGAGAAGCAGTCCAGCCTTTTCCCTCCGGGGAGCTTTCTGCGTGGTTATAGACAAGGCACTCTGTTTCTGCCTCAGCTTCTCTGCCCCACAAGTTGACGCTGCCCACCTCGCAGGGCTGTTGTAGGTTTATAGAGAAAGATGGAAAGCTACGCCCGACTTGATAGCAGCCCTGACTGTGGTGCCTTTCTGCAGCCTGTGATGCCTATTGCTTGCTGGAGGTGCATGCAAAGTTGTTGAAGGACCCGGCTGCCTTCGGCCTGAGCTCCGATATGGTGGGGATGATGAGGAAAGCCGGCCACCCCAAGGCAAAAGCAAGGAAGCCACCGAGGAGGGAGCAGGAAGCCCCCCCCACGGTCAAGGAGGTGTGTGGGATTGAAGCCCGAGAAAGGAGGCCGCTGCTGAGCAAACCGCCACCTGAGCTTCGGGCTGCTCTGGGCTGATGCTGGGCTCGTCCTTCAGCCAGCCATGCTTTGGGCTCTCTTCCCCCTTTGGGGTTGTTATGTGGCAAAGGGGTTCAGCACCAAGTTCCCCCTTTAGCGAAATGCGGCTAGACCCTGGATGGGCCCATTTTCCCCTACAGAGTCCAGCATCCGTCCTGGCAGATGCCCCCAGGGCTTCGGTTGGCATCCTGGCGCAAGACTTCCGCGTGGTCTGCGACAACATGTTGCAGGGCCTGGGACGATCCCTGCGCTGCCTCGGGGTGGATGTCCGGATCCTGGGGAACGATGATGAGCACCGGAGGGCTGCTGAGGTTGGTGGCCGTTGGGCCCAGTCTTCTCGGGTGGGAGTGGGCTCCTCCCAAGGCTGGCTGTGTGTGCCCCACCCTGGGCCTGGCAGAGCAACCTGGGCTCCGGTTCAACCCGCAGGAAAGTCCTCGACTGTGGAAAGGGGGGGGGGAACTTGCAGTCCTTCCGAAGATCAGAGGCTGAAGGCAGAGATGAGCTCGGTTCAATCCTGGCCCCCTCACTCATGCCACGCCCTCCTCTGCCTTCCCTGGAAGGATGTCCTGTTTCCATGGGGACAAGGCAATTGGCCTTCCTAGTGCTCCACACGGCCAGTGGCTTTGAGCCACGCTTGGCCAATCAAAGATACCGACGAGCACTTCTTATCCTTTCTCCCCCCCCCCCCCCCGCCCCATCTCCCCAGCTCTTTTCCTTGGCTCAATGGGGGCCGATGAGCTCTGGCAGGTGGACCAGGAAGCTCTCTGCAAGCAGCCGCCAGCCCACCCTCCGGCTTATGTCCCCGACTCCAATGGCTTTGCGTGACTCTGGGACTTTGCAGGTGGAGGGCACAGCAGCGGGGTGGCGGGTTGCCGTGTTTGTGGTCCCACGTAGATGAAGGGCAGAGAGCAGTAGGTTTCCCACCGCTGCCCCAGAAGGGAAGGGCTCCCAAAGTAAGTCTGTCTTTTATTGATTCCTTTCCAGATTGCCAGGGAAGAGAATCGAGTGATTTTAACCTCCGGCCTTCCATTTCATTCGGTGAGTGCCTAGAGAGGTGGGAGGAGAGAGGGGGGTTCCTGAGCTCCTCCGTCCCCCAGTAACTCCCCTTGGCCACCGTAGACTTCTCTCCTGTGGCAGCTGGTGGTTGTCCCTTCCCCTTTCGTGGCCAGGCCGGGGTTTCAGCCAGGAGCTTCCCGGCTGCCCTGCGATTCCTCTCCTCCACCCGCTCTTCTCAGTCGCAGCGTGGTCTCCAGGCCCCACCACCTTTTCCCAACCAGGCCCTCTCTTGCTTTTGCCCAGCTGCGGTCCCAAGTGGGCGAAGGTCGGTGTTTCTCGGTGAGCTGCTCAGAGAAGGCCAGGGACCAAACCCTGCAGGTCCTGAAGCATTTCAACGTCCGGGTGACCTTGGCTGATGTTTTCAGCCGCTGCCAGGTAAGATGGCCCGAGCCTCCTCTGGCAGGCCCTTTCCAGGCCTTTTGGCTTCTTCCGGCTTTTTTTTGGTCTCCTCCTTGTCCTTGTGGGACTGGGGGCTGAGCGGTTAGCAGATGGGCAAGAGCCCGTCTCCTCTGCGTGCAGGTGGCCGTCTGAAGAAGGCGAAGCGCTCCTTCGGGAAGTTCCTTTTGGGTCTGCTGGGAGGAGGGCAGTTCAGCCCCACAGAAAAGGAATGACGACTTAGGGAGAAGCTGCGGGGAGAGCCCCTTTTTGCTTGCAAAGCCCTTTCCTCTTTCTGGCAAGGAGGGGGTTCCAGGAGCACCTTTCTCGGACTTGTTCGGCTCGTGGCGAAAATCTGTTTCCTCAGTTTCCTCCTCGTGGCTTGGAGGGGAGCAGAATGTTAACGGGCAGCACAGGGCAGGGAGGGGTCTCTGATGCCTCGGTGCCAGTCATTCAGCGTGGCTGTGAATGGGCCTCAGGCTCGGTTCTCCCGTACAGCGCAAATGGCTGCATGTCTTCATTGTGTCTGTCCGCCAGGGAGAGCAAAGCGGGAGCGTGGCCCTTCTGCCCTTTTCCTTTGCAGGGGTCCCAGAGCGTTTCTGCAGCTGAGGGGCTGGGGAGGCCACCTCCTCCCCTTACCTAGGGAGGGCCGTGGGGCACGCAGGCCAGAGCTGGCACCTTCTTTCCAGGCAGAACCATCCATCTTGGATGTAGGGCGTAGTGGGAATGGGAGCGCCCGAGGACTTGTTCATCCCCAGAGAGCGGCTGTCGGGTGGAGCCGTGCCCCAAACAGGAGGCGAGGGGCTTGCTCAGGCAGGCTCCTTTCCACAGCAGAGAATCCCCTGCTGCTGCCTTTCCCTCTGCATTCTGCGCAGGATCCTCTTGAGGGAGGGGGGAGAAGGGGGGGGGGGGGGGGGGGTTTGGGGGGAGCCAGTTGGACCCTGGCCGGGATCTCACCAGCGGTGGCTGCCTTGCAGAGGGCGGCTGCCTGGTTCCCACAGACGGTCTGTTTTCCTGCCAAGATCTCAGTATCTTCAGAAACCCAGCGGAGCATGAAGGCCACAAACAGGGAAGAACGACCCCCACCCCCCACCCCAACTTGTCCTTTTCCCTAACGAGCCCTGCCTAGGCTTTCCCTCTCAGAGCCCAAAGCGGAGGGAGAGAGGAGCCTTTGCAGCCCCGTCTGATCGAGCGAGGCGGGCAGAGAACACTCCTTTCCTCATCCTGCTCAGAATGGCCTCCCTTTTGCCTTCCATCTGGCCTGCCCTCGTCTTACCTTCTCTGAGGCCAGGTAAAGATTTTTTGGGATGGAGCAAAGAGTTAAGGCTTCCCTGCTGTTCAGAAGTAGCCAGATCTGGGTTGGCCTTTCCTGCTTGAGAGCTTCCCGGCCTCCATCTTTCTTGGAGGATGCAGTTGCAAGGAAGGGAGGAAGGAAGGAAGGAAGGAAGGAAGGAAGGAAGGAAGGAAGGAAGGAAGGGGGCTTCCCTGAAAAGCCAGCACTTTCCCATCCTTGGGAACATGGCAGGGTCTTTCCTCCCATGGATCTGTCCCTTCCCCCTATGGGAAATGGCCCCTCAGACTTCCCAGGCTGAGAAGGGCAGCTGGCAGGTGTGTCTCCCCGCTCCCCCTGGGCTGGTTATCTGAGGTCGTGGACTCGGATGCTTGCTTGCTGGAATCGGAAGGAGGAGATGGCCCAGGCACCCTTTCTCTGGGTACGGTTCGGTGGAGCGCCAGTGCGGCTGGGGAATCTCGGGGGTGGGGACTTCACATTTTCTTTGGGGGTCATGGAAGCAGCCTTTTCCCCAGCTGAGCCTTATGGGTCTTTCCTTCTTGGGACCCAGGCAACTTCGTGGCTTCCACGCCTTACTGGCCCCCCGTGCCCAGGAATTGCTCTCTCCTGAGGGGGCAGACTTGGGGTGTGGCCATTCCCTTTTGCTGGAGTGTCTTTGGAAGGGGTCTTGCTTTGCCACCACCTCCCCAATTTTGGGGTCTCCTTGGTGGCACCCTTCCCTCCAGCAGGATCTGCATTGCAACCTCTGGTGCTGTGCTCCCTCTGGAACAAAGGAAAGGCCGGGAGGTTTGCAGGGTCCTTGGGGCAGAGGGAGCCAGGAAAGGCCACGGTCCCTCTTCCACTCTCTCGCTGTGGGGCTGGAGGGGAGATGTCGGGCGTGGTCTTTCCCTGAAGGGAGGTTGGCAGGGCCAGGCTGCTCCTTTGCAGATGCCGTTGGCAGCCATTTGAATGTTCTGGGGCTGACTTTTCAGCCCCAAGCGGATCTCCTGGTGTGAATTACCTTTGCGTGAGCCCTGCCGGCCTTCGCAGGCAGCAGAGAGGCGTCCTTCCCTGCCCAGTGGGCCAGCCAGAGCCTCTTCATATTTCCCCCAGATTCTTTGCAATCCTTATTTTTCACAGTCTGGGCTTCCCTTCTCTTGCCAATTTCCCAGGAGGGCTGCTGGAGGGCGAAGATTTCTCACGATAGCAGAGCAACCGGAGCCTGCAGTGCTCACGGGCCCTGCGGTAGGGCTGCTGGCGCTTGGCATGCAGCTGCTCAGATACCCAGAGTGGTCAGTCCGCAGCGTTCAGCCGGACTGGCTTGCCCAGGCAAAGGTGCCTTTTCCACCAGGGGCGAGTGAGGCAGCTCCTGCTGGCTCTGCTCCAGGAGGGCCGGGGCTGGGGGGAGCTTTCATGCACCTGCCAGGCGAAGGTGGCAGCCAGTCAGCCACCTGGCTCACTTCGCTGGAGTACTGGGGAGATAAACTCAGTTGCCCTTCTGTGCCTCGGGGCCCCTTCTGGGGGCCACAATGCTGAGCGCCTTCATCCCTGAATGGATCACTTGCCGAGTTTCCAGGGCCCGTCCCTTCTCCATGATCTGTTTGTGCACGGGAGAGTTCCCACGCTAAAAATACACTGTCAGTGATAAGAGAAAGCTGGGGGGGGGGGGGGCATGGAAATGTCCCTGCACTAGGAGGAAAAGGCTGTTGTGCTGCTTCTAAAAATACGTGGGCATCTCAGAAACAGGAAAGGCAATTGGGGTGGGGGTGGGGGTATGCCAGCTCTTAACCCTCATCCTGCGGGTAAAGTTGCAGCCTTTCCCCAGAGCCAGGCGAAACCACGCTGGGGGCACTGGGGCCGTTTTGCTGGCAGCTGCTACTCTCCCGCCAGGGCTTGGCAAGGGGGCTTCAACGGCTACATGCCTGGGCTGCTAGCAAGTCAGAATGCTCCCCGAGCCCCTTGGGGGCTGCCTAGCATGGGCAGGAATGCTCCAGCCTCTTTCCTAGGCGACCCTGGCAAGCTGGTGGTGGAGACCTGGCTCTCTCTCGCCTCCCTGGGGGTCGCGGCCCAAAGGGAGGTTCCTCTGCCAAGGCAGGTGCGGACGGGCACTAAGCAGGTGCCGCAGGGTGAGGAAGCGGCAGGGAGGTCTGCCTTTTGGCCTCGGCTGGGAATCCATGGCAAGCGCTGCTCATCTGGGCAGGGAAGGGCATCCCTCTTTGGTGGCATCTAGCGCTCAGCACCTGGAGCCTTGCCCGCTGAGGCTCAAGCCGAGGAACCAGCCTCCTTTAAGCAAAGTAGAGCCCCATTCCAAAGGAGAAGCTGCGGGGGGTGGGGGCGTAAATGGCACTTTGGGTCAGTGGCATCTGGTAGGCTGGCTGGGAGTCTCCTGTGCCTGCCCTTCTGCCTCGGGCCTCCCTCCTCCGTCCTTTCTGCTGGCCTCTGGCCTGCCTGCTGTGGGCCAGATTAACCTTTTGGTCTCTTCCTGACCTAATAAAATCTCCTCTCTGAGTTGGAAGGATTAGCTGGCCATTGGCAAATGCCAAGCATGGGTGCGGAGGACAGACACATCGCTGATGACAGGGTAATCTCCCTCCGCGATAATAGAAAACCCTGGGTGCAAATAAAGCCACGGCCTGTTTGGTGGGGCTGAGTGGTTGGTTGGCACAGCAATGCGCCAACGGTAGCCCTTTCCGAACCTCTGGAAGGCCCGGCGGGGGAGGAGGGCTCCCTGGGGGAGCCATGAGCCTGGAGGTGATGCCATCCCAGCCCACAAGCCACTTCGGGGTACGCAGGGACCAAGGCGGCACTAAGGTTTTCTTATTCAGCCTCCTTTAAGCAAAGTAGAGCCCCATTCCAAAGGAGAAGCTGCGGGGGGCTTATTCAGGTGCCTCCTGCCCAGGGCTCAAGCCCAGGTTGCCTCGGAGCCTCTTTTCCGTAGGGACTGTGGCTGCTTCCTGCTGGGCACAGAGGCCTTCACGAACCCATTGTGGCCCCAGCAGTGCCCCTCTCTCGTATACGGCTCCTCTCCTCGGGGGCCCAAGATAGCCAGGGCTGTGTCCTCTGCTCCCCCCCACTCCTCGGGACCCAGACCAAGGACTGCGGGGCAAGCTGAGCTTCTCAAGGCATCCATGTCCATGTCCAGGCAGGGTGTCCAACTCAGTTTGGCCGTTTGCTCTGGATCCGAGGCCAGGCAGTGCAGTGGTCATCCACGCTCCCTTCCTCAGGCTGCTGGTGCCGGCAAGCTCTGAAGGGGGCGTCGTGGTGCTCTGGTTGAGGGAGGGAGGAAGGGAGGGAGGGGGCTGAAAGGCAGACGGGTGGCGGGAGAGGATGCAGGCGTAAACACGAGGACACGGAGGAGATGCGGAATCTGGAACTCTTCCAAGGGGAACTCCTCTTCCTTTCGGGCATCTCTCCCTTGCCCTTCCCGCAGCTGACCAAGAGGCTTTGGGAGGCCATAAAGAGCTGGGCGCTGGCAGTGGCGGTGGGCGCGGGAGGTGTCCTCAAATTTCCTGAAGACGGACTGTGGTTGCAGGCAGGTGAGGCTCTGGGCCTTCCTCCTCCTCCTCCTCCTCCTCCTCCTCTTCTGCCCTTTCTCCATCCCTCAGCCCACTCCTGCTCATTCAGGTAGCCCCTCCATCCCGGTCTGGGTTCTCGGTCCCTGGGGTGGGGGCAGGAAAGTCTTCCCTGAGCAGGGAGCCTGGGCGCCTTGGCCCCCATCCCAGAAGGAGCC